GCCAACATGGCGAAACCCTGTCTCTACTAAAAATACAAACATTAACAAGGCGTGGTGGCACATGCCTGTAATCCCAGCTACTCGGGAGGCTGAGGCAGGAGAATTGCTTGAACCTGGGAGGCAGAGGTTACAGTGAGCAGAGATCGCGGCACCACACTCTGGCCTGGGCAACAAAGCAAGACTCCCTCAAAAGACAAAAAAAAAAAGAAAAGAAGAAAGGAAGGAAGGAAGGAAGGAAGGAAGGAAGGAAGGAAGGAAGGAAGGAGGGGAGGGGAGGGGAGGGGAGGGGAGGGGGGGGGAGGGGAGGGGAGGGGAGGGGAGGGGAGGGGAGAGGAGAGGAGAGGAGAGGAGAGGAGAGGAGAGGAAAGGAAAGGAAAGGAAAGGAGAAGGAAGGAAGGAAGGAAGGGAGGGAGGGAGGGAAGGAAGGGAAGGAAAGGAAGGAAGGAAGGGAGGGAAGGAAGGGAAGGAAGGGAAGGAAAGGAAGGGAGGGAGGGAGGGAGGGAGGGAGGGAGGAGGAAACCAGGGCTTATGCTTGAGTAGTGATCTCTAACTTTGTCCTGGTATTATGAGTGACTCAATCACAATTTCAGATGACCCTTAGTAGTCTGTCTTTTTTCTATCATACACATTGGAGAGACAGTTTAAATTCCTATCAGGGCTGCAGACCCATGGGGGCCACGTTCACCCCTTCCCCTTGGCCTTGGCAAGAGCGGCCCCCTTATTGCACAGAGGGGAGGGTCCTGGGGGATCCTGGGTCGGCCCTGCCACACCTTGCTCGGCCACCATTTCTGCTGGGCACCAGGAGAAAACCATGGCAGCAGCAGCCACCAGCCTCTCCTCCATCACCCCCAACACCCTCCTTTTAAATAACTTGCTTCTAATTAATAGAAAACAAAATGTTGAAAGGATGTTATTTCTGTGATTAGGTTACAAAGAAAACAGTGACTTCTGTCTTGCTAGCAGATGCTCTCCCTTGGGGATTTTGATTAATCAAGTTGTCACGTTAAAGAAGCCTATATGACAAGGAACTGAGGATTTCCTATTGCCAACAGCCAGCATGTAACTGAGGCCCTCAGTCCACAAACCCTCAAAGGGTTTGTTGATTTCTGACAACAATCATGTGAACTTAGAGCTGATCTCTCCCCAGTTAAGCCTTCAGATGAGATGCCAACTCTGGCCAACACCTTGATTTCAGTCTTCAGAGCCTCTGAAGCTTAGGACCCTGCTGAGCCATACCTGGATTTCTGACCCATGGAAAGGATCATGTGCATTGTTTTAAACTACTAAGTTTTGAGTTAATTCATTATACAGCAATAGATGATAATAATACAAGAGGAGATACAAATGTAAAGAGAAGTAAAAACTCTGTAACTCTGAATTAGAAAGAAAAACAAACAGGCATACATAGATATATATCTCCTAGGTCTTGCTATTGAAAAGGCTTGGAAACAATAACCAGCTAAGCAGGGAGCCTTTGCTAGCATTCAATTTGTCATCTTGAAATTCCATATCCTCATAAAGAAATCAAGATTCCTGGGAGAAATGGCTGAATCCAGATCGGAGGCAAGAAATGTATGGCATGAGACTGAAACATCTTGTCATATCATAAAGCAAGGGTCTTGAGTCAGAAGTACTCAGGTGCCAAGTTGAAGACCTTCCCACTTGAAGATGGGAAAATTTGAGCCCCAGTAATGATAATGACAGCAAAGAGTTGAAACACTTCAAGTATGTTTATATCCCTGAGTCTGTAATTATTCTTAAAAAAAAAAAAAAAAAAAAAAAAAATTGGTCACCATTGGAGAATGCTAGAGAGCCAAGTATTTTGAAAACACATAAGTAAAGGGAAACAAGTATTTATCCTGCCTTTTTCTACATGAACTGTACAACTTGGTAACCACATAGATGGTAAGAAAAAGTTTCTTTTAATGTATTAAAATAAACTTTTAATATATTACAAGAAACATTACCTATATAGCAGGGTGCCTCATGCCTCGGCTGCCTACAAGCTGTGTGACCTTGGGTGAGTGACTTAACCTCCTTGTGCCTCAGTTTCCCCATCTTTAAAATGGAGTTGACTACATATTTAGATCATGTTTGGGGATTAAATGAATTAATACATGTCAAGCAACTAGAACAGTGCCAGGCATACAGTATTTCAGAAGTATCTATTATCATTATTATATTTTTATTCCTAAAATGCTGGCATTTATCCAACCACAGTTCTTGGCACCCCTTGCACCATACACCTCCAGTCACTCCTGGGCTTTAGCCTGGAGCCCAATGTGCATCCCCACCCTGCATCACCCCACTCACCCTAGGACTCATAACCCCACTCACCACGGACTCACCCTGAGCTGAGCCAATCTTTAACAGAGACTCTTCCAAAGCCCTTGGGCACCTTGACACCTGGGCAAGTCCTGCACCACTGACCCACCTTCTGCTGCCTCCTTAGGTGGCTTGGAGAATATTTCATGTCATTAACTTCCTCACTTTGAGCCCATCTAGGGCAAAGAGGCAAGTGGGAGACTCTTTTCCTTACTCCCCAAACATCCTGGGACCTTCTGTTTCGTTCTTTTCCAATTCCTAACCACTCCAGATCCCACCCCACCCCATACACCACTTGCCCCACAAATGGATTTACATGCTTTACCTGTATTGCTTTACCTCCTGAGATTTCTCTCCTCACCCACCTAACCTTCCTGTCTTTCCACAAGAGCACAGAGAGGTGAAGTAACTTGTGCACAGTCACACAGCTAGATAGTAACAAACTACAGCTATGCTATGCTACCAAGCAGCAAACTTAACTGTGTCTTCACTTTCCCAGCCCTTCCTTCCCATGACGCTGCACTTTCCCAATCACTGTCCAGCCTCTCACACCTGACCTGCATTAACGCACCTGACCTACCAGAATTCTATTCGTTTCTTCCTTTTGTATACCAACAGGTTATCCCCCGCACCCCCTCCCTCCAGTGCTTTCAGGGCACAGCTACTCATTCAAAATAATTACTCAATACCTGTTTATGTGGCATCACGTTTGGCTTCTACAAAAGGAAAAAAAGCATAATAATTACCCAGATTGGAAAACAAAATTCCAACAAAAGAACACTAGATGGGGAATCATTCAGTCTTCAATGCAGACCTTTGCCACCTCACAGGCATGTGACATTGAGCAATCACTTTTACTTCACTGTGCTCAGTTTACACAATAAACACGTATGGCAAACACCTGTGCCTTCCTCTTCTAGGTTGATTGTGAGAATCTGTTGACAACCTCAGTGGGAAAACTATTTTTATTCCATACCTTAGCCTTTGCACCAGCTCAGCTCTTCCTGGAACATCCTTCTTCTAGATAGCATCGAGCTGACCCCCACTTCACCTCTTCATCTTAGTTTAAATGTCTCCTCCTCAATGAAGCATCCCTGACCCCGCCTGCACCATATAATGAAATCTTACTCCTTACACTGCTCCACTTTCTTCTGTTTCAAAAGTACTTTATCACCTTCTAATATACTACATAGTTACTATGATTATTGTCTATTATTTTTCTCTCCTGCTAGAATGTAAACTTTGTGAGGGCAGGAACCTTTGTCGGCTCTGCTGATGTATCCCAAGTTCCTACAGTGGTACCCACTGGCCTAACAAGTGCCCCATGGATGTTTGCTGATTGACAGAGTGCCCCCATCCACAGTCTGAGCCTCCCTTCTTTAGGTCTCTTGGTGCTCCTCTAATTATAGGGGCACTGAAAATCCTTCTTGTTACTGTTAATGAGGCCAAATGCAGGAAGTAGTGGCATCAACTACTACAACACTTCGGACCAGATCAGTGAAAGAGAATCTGGAAAACAACAACAAGAAAAAACAAACAAACAAAACCCAAACATTCCCAAATTCTCCCTTCAATTTTCTCTTTACTACAGGCATGCCCATTTGGGCCCTTTTTACATCCCTATCTCTCCCCTCCTCTTCTCTTACTCATTTGGGATGTCCCTCATTCCCTAAATGTTCCTCCTTCACCCTTTTGTCTTCCATTTTGTGGCTTTTTCCTCTGTGAGCTTTACTTTGCTTTTCTGAGTAGATGAGAGAGAAAGGGACTGTCTGAGCACTGGGGTTGGAGTCACAGAAGGACCACGCCAGGCTTCAGTGTTGAAGGTAAGTGTGGCATGCCATAGCACCATATATGAGGAAACCTCAGCTGGGACCTTGTTGCTTTGGCCCAGGCAGTTCAGAGAGCCCAAGAGAGGACTGGGGGTGTGGACTGGCAGGTCTGCATGGTGCTGGTAAACATGCAACAAACAGCCCCTTTCCTTTCGCCCTGCGAGCTCATGCAAGAGGAGCAGAAGCTCTGTAGAAGTAGCTTTTTCCTAAAGTAAACATTTATGGGTCCTGTTTAGATTGCCTGGATAAACATTTAGCTCTATTTGCCTATTCCAGAGCAGAGGACGCTGCCTTGCTCTACAAACTCATCTCAACTCACTTGCCCATTGCACTTCACAGGCATCTCAGTCCTCTTAGGGTGGGACAGGCAGTAGGTCAGTGAGGGGAGCACAGGTTTAGGGACTACCTACTGATGTAGAGGTTGCAAGTGGAAGGATGGAAAAGAAGCTATTATTTGCTTGATGCCTCTAGCATATTAAAAGGACCATACTAATCCTCAGGGTAGTCTGGGACCTTGATACTCAAAGTGCACTCCATGAACCAGCAGCATCTGAGGCACCTAGGAGTGCATTGCTCATTTAAAAGGTAGGTTCCTGGGCCCCCTTCTGACCTTTTGAATTAGGAATCTGCATTTTAACAAGATCCCAAGTGATTTGTAGGTATTATACAATTTCATAAACACTATTCCAGAAAATCTGAATTCAGCTAATTGCTAATTGTTCTATTGACAAATAAAACAGTAAGTGACTTTTAAAGAATCGTTTATGGTTCCTAAACCATGAGGAAAAAAAATACACATATATATGTATTCTTTAACACTTTAAAAATAAACTTCAAAGACAAAGGTTTAGGGCAGAACAGTTTTAAGCTCAACTTTTATTTCCTCTCTTTTGAAATATTCTGATTTAGGTTTTGACTATGGAGAAAAGAGTAACAATGTCAGCAGAGGCATTTCATATCCTAATTTTAACATGATACTTAAAATTCTACCTATATTTGTTAAATGGTATTATTTCTTATGTAAATCATAATGTACATTTATTGAGAGCTACATTTTAAGTACAAGTTTGTATTTATTTAATCTTATGTACCCTATGAGGAAGGTACTGATGTCATCCTCTGTTTTACAGATGGGGAGACTATAGCATAGGAGCATTTAGATAAGTTGCCTAAAGTCCCACAGCTCACAAATGGGGAGGAAGGATTTGAACTTGGTGCCAGAGCATACATTTAACCCTAACAATAAATGTCTGAGCATGCTGGTCTCCCTAGTAAGCAGCAAGCTGCCCAAGATATCAGACTTCTTTTCTTTATAAAACTACTTCAATGATGCTGCCTGCAATGGCACTCAAAGTTGCTGACCAACCCCCAAAAAAGAATAATGCGGACATAAAAGGCTATGAATTAAAGAGGTACCTTGTGAAGAATAGAGATTTTAAAGTATCATCTTATTATTTGTAACAAAAATGGAAAACTTAAATACAGTAATGACCAGCATTGAGAATTTGATATGAATCATCAACATAGTTATGTTGATATGTATATGCTACGTACTACGTTGATGATTCATATCAAACTCATTAACATGATATCAACATATATATATGGATGATTCATATCAAAAACATGAGTTAGATATGAAATGAGACATAGATTTCTATTTTTTTTTGAGATGGAGTCTCGCTCTGTTGCCCACGCTGGAGTGCAGTGGCGCGATCTTGGTTCACTGCAAGCTCCGCCTCCCGGGTTCACGCCATTCTCCTGCCTCAGCCTCTGGAGTAGCTGGGATTACAGGCACCCGCCACCACGCCTGGCTAATTGTGTGTGTGTGTGTGTGTGTGTGTGTGTGTGTGTGTTTAGTACAGACGTGGTTTCACCATGTTAGCCAGGATGGTCTCGATCTCCTGACCTCGTGATCCGCCGGCCTTGGCCTCCCAAAGTGGTGGGATTACAGGCGTGAGCCACCGCCTGTAATCACCTGGCCGAGACATAGATTTCTAAACCATTAAAACTACAGGTTTTATACCATGGATAATGCTGCTTATAGAAGCTATCTATCACATTCCTAGGGGAGACCATAGCAATGATTTCCTGTGGGAATGTGGACAATTCTTATTCCCAAAAACCTTATGTTTGTTTAAAACGTCACTCTTACAGAAAAAGATGCACCTCTGAATATCCTTTGATCTTAGCCAATCTTTTTTAAAAAAGTATACATAGATACTGGTCTTTTAGAATTATTCAATGCTCAGTATTGCTCAAAAACAGCCCCTCCATAACAATTTATTTCCAGATAAGATTTGGTCCCTTTAAAGGAAATCATTAGAAATGGACCAAAGGATAGGAAATAAGAAGGCCACCCAGCAACCCCCTACAATCACAGTCATCCACACAGGAGGCACCAACACCTGGTTTGTAGACAAGTGGTTCACTGCAATGCAAAATAAGTTTTATATGAACAGAATAAGCCACTTGAAAATCTTACTTTCCAAGATGGCCCCATTTAGGGGTCTGAGGGTCCACAGAATTAGTCTAGTTCTGCTGGAACAGTACAGATTCTAAAATGCCTAATAAGGTTGCAATGATGACTGAAGGCTTTTCCAAACTCATCACACTCATGTTCTCTCTCCAGTGTGGATTTTCTGATGTTTCTTAAGAAGGGTCTGCTTACTAAAGAGTTTACTGCACTGACTGCACTGATAGGGTTTCTCACCAGTGTGGACTCGGAGATGCTGGAAAAGCCCTGCATTCTGAATGAAGGCTTTGCCACACTCACGACACTGATAGCGCTTCTCTCCAGTGTGTATCCTCTGATGCTGAACAAGGCATGAGCTGAGAAGGAAAGCCTTTCCACACACTTTGCATTCATATGGTTTTTCCCCTGTGTGGATTCTTCTGTGTCTAGTGAGGCCATTGCTGGCACTGAAGGCTTTCCCACACTCCTTACACTGATAGGGTTTCTCTCCAGTGTGGCTCCGCCGATGTTCATTCAGGCTTGACCTCCGGCTGAAGGCCTTCCCACATTCTTCACATTCATATGGCTTCTCCCCAGTGTGGATTCTCTGGTGCTCAATGAGTACTGAACTCTTAGTGAAGCTTTTCCCACATTCATTGCACCTGTGGCGTCTCTCTGCAGTGGAATGTCCCTGCTGCTTTTCTGCCCTGCTGTCTTGTTTACAAGTTTCTCTGTACTTAGAATCCAAAGATACGTCTCTTTGGAGTCTGCTATCCCGCAAATGTTCCATTTCTTTTAAGATTTCTTGCTTTGATACCAACTCCTGGTTCTCAGGTATACTTTCACCATCTGGAATAATAAGTGGACCAAACAATGTAATCTCTTTCCTTTATGAAAGAACACAATCATAGGATGGAAATAGAAAGATCCATATCAAACAGACATGTTCTAGGAATGAAGAACTGCCAGTTAAGGAGGGGATTGGGTTAAACAGGGATGTTTAAGCTAGTAGAGTAAGGTCATCAGCACTGCTGAAATGGCTGGAGGGAGCACCCAGAGGCTCCCAGAGAGGATGCACATAAGCAGGTACTATATTATATTCATTACAAGGCAGGCACTGTTCTAAGTGTTTTACGTATGTTAATTTATTAAATCTCAAATGACTCTGTGACTGACGTGCTATGATTATCTCCACTTAAAATATGCATAAACTGAAGACACCAGGAGGTTACCTGACTTGTCCATTGTCACAGAGTTATTAAATGCAGCATTTAAATTCCAACCCAGGCAATTTAGCCCCCGAGTCCACAGTCTTAACTATTGCCCTATATAGACCCGCCAGAGATCTCCTGAAAGGACCTGTCAAAATCCTTACCTTGTTCTCGAAATTGGTGGAGGCGAAAAGATTCATATTTGAGCTGTGTCACCATAGGCTGAAGCTGGATGTCTGTTGGTTCCTGCTTGACCTTCAGATGTTCCACCTCCTCCGAGAGCACTTCAGAATGTCCATGTTCATGGTCTAGAGCCTGAAGGCAGGTAGGCACATTTGGTTCATAAGAGGGGGATTATAGGAGTCCAAGCTAATATGAAATGAAAGATATCACATGGAACTATATGAAACATTTTCTAGAGAGATGTCACAGTGGAAGGACCAGAGTTTAATTCCATACCCAAAAGCAAAACAGGGAAGAGTGGCCCAATTTAGTATGGTGGTTTAAAATAAATCCACCAGGTAGAATCAAACTGCCCACCTCCAGCCCCCTGAATGTGGGCTATACTTGATAGCTCAACTCTACTGAATAGAAAGTGAGGCAGAAGAGATGGTATATCACTTCTGAGTCATAAAAAGCACTGTGGCTTTTTCCTTTCTCTCTCTTTCTCTCCTTCTTCCCTCTGGAGGAAGCCAGCTGACATGTTGTGAGGGCACTCAAGCAGCCCCATGAAGAATACCAACATGGTAAAGAACTAAGACCTCCTGCCAATAGCCGGTGAGTAGCTGAGGCCCCCTACCAACAACTGTACCAGTGAACCATCTCGGAAGTGGATCCACCTACCTGAATCTTGTCTTCAGATGACTATAGTCTTGGCCATTAAGGTTTAGGGGTAATTTGTTACACAACAGAGAACTAATACATATAGCTATAGTCAACCAACCTGTGTCACCAAACCCCACCTTTCATTTAGTATTTAATGTCTAGAAGTCCATCTTTGTCCTCTCACCTGGTTCCCTGGCTCACTAAGCTCTTGTTCCAGATCTTCGACTACAGCCACAGCCTCCTCCCCACTCTCTGGATGATGCTCCCGCACCCAGGCCTGGAGCTCCTCAGGCAGGATAGTCAGGAACTGCTCCAGCACCAGCAGCTCCAAGATTTGCTCTTTGGTGTGGATTTCTGGCTTTAGCCACTGACGACAAAGTTCTCGGAGCCGGCTCAGAGCTTCTCGGGGACCAGGAGTCTCTTGGTAACAAAACTGCCTAAAAAGTTGTCGGGAGGCTTCTTGGCCAGAAAAGTTGTTCACTTGAAGGTGGGCTTCTTGATCCCAGATAGGTTCTTCCTCCACTTTCACAATCTTAAGATCGTACTGTTCCTCTGTTGAAGCCATTCCTGGGGTTAATTTAGAAGGCTTACTCTGGCTTTAGGTGAAAGGATAACTGTGATTTAAAATTTTCTGATTTAATCTTCCTTAGAAGACACCTGATGATAGAGCATTATATATTAATGGAAATAAATCATAAAGTAGTGGGGAAAAAAGGAAAATATGGAAATATGAATGGTATTCTGTCATTTATGTTAATACAATGTATATATGGTTACTGACTTACATATGTTTAGCAACTGGGAAAAGGTTATTCCAGAGTACGTTAATGGCCTCAATTCTTCCCCCTTCCCTGTAGCCATGTATTAATATTTTGCAGTGCCCTTCCATTGTGACACTGAATTCAACAATATGACTTGATTTTGCCGATGATATTAGCAAATGTGATGCATGCAGAGGTTTGAACAGTACTTGTGTAACTGGGTTTGCTTACTCTTGCCCTCTGAAATTGCCAGAAGAAGGATATTTTTTCAGATGATAAGAGACATGTAGGACAGAGCCAGATCACCCCAGTGGAGTAGATGAGACCATCCTAGATTAGTTGACAGCCAGCTAACTGCCAGACATGTGAGCAGGCCTAGCCTGAGGTCTGCAGAGCTGCTGAATGCAGATGTATAAATAGGGCCTGCCCACCCTAGGTAAGCTATGCCCCATATACTCACGTGCTATACATAAGTTTATCACTATATGCCACTCATGTTTTGTGGCTATTTATTATACCACATTATTATGGCAACAGATAACTGATATAGAAGGGTGAACCTCTGGGAAGGAAAATTAGGTAACTGTGGAATAAAAAAGCAAGAGATATTTACTTTTTGAGCATAGACATGATGCTAAAAGGAAATGCTCATTGCAGCATTTCATATTTCAGATTTTCAGATTAGGGATCTGTTAAGTTTAATGCAAATATTCCAAAATCCAGAAAAATCTGAAATCCAAAATACTCTGATCCCAGGGGTTTTGGATAAGGGATACTCAGTCTGTAGAAGTGATTTAAAGGCCTGGGCAATATGTTTTTTTTTTTTTTTGAGGCGGAGTCTCGCTCTGTAGCCGGCTGGAGTGCAGTGGCGGATCTCAGCTCACTGCAAGCTCCGCCTCCCAGGTTTACGCCATTCTCCTGCCTCAGCCTCCGAGTAGCTGGACTACAGGCGCCCGCCACCTCGCCCGGCTAGTTTTTTGTATTTTTTAGTAGAGATGGGGTTTCACGGTGTTCGCCAGGATGGTCTCGATCTCCTGACCTCGTGATCCACCCGTCTCGGCCTCCCAAAGTGCTGGGATTACAGGCTTGAGCCACCGCGAGGCCTGGGCAATATGTTTATATGGTAGATCTAGGAGGAGAACAGGATATATAAAACTAGCTATAATATCAGATGATTAATGCTGTAATAGAGGCCCTGCCAGAATATTCAGGGAGTAAAGAATAGAAAAAATAATTTCTGACTGGGTATGGAACATTGAAAGAATATGACTTAGGGGCAAGTACATTTGAATTAGGCTAAAATCATGAACAGGAATTTATCAGGCAGAGAAAGGAAGGGATCCGCCATCATAAATCAAGCAAACAACATGAAGAAAGGTATTTAAGGGCACACACAACGGCGATAAGGACAGGCAAAGCTGAACTATAGAATATGGGTTGTGGGTAAAAATGTGAGAGATGAGGTTAAAAAGATGCATTATAGGGGACAGAAAACGGCCTTCAACTCTAGGCTGAGACGTTAGACTTTACTATATGGAACACTGAGAGGCAAGGCTTTTATTTCATTGTCATGGTGTTAGATCTGTATTTAAAAAAATATTGAGTAAGATTCAGGATGGAAATGGTAAGAATATGTTGCAGCGTTGTGGCCTTTTAAGTTGGGAAGTTTAATGGTAGTTACACTGATACAATGTTGACTTTAGTGGTGTAATTTAAGTTTTATCTGACTTTTGCCCAATGCTAATGGAATCATTAAGGTCTGAGAGCACTTGGAAGTTTTTCAGTTACACTTTATTGGGTGAAAATGCATTTATTCCATTCATTCATATATCATGTGTCTGTTAGGTGTCTGGAATAGTGTTGAGGTGCTTAGTTCAAATTGGTGAAAGGAAAGGTCCCTACCTTTATGGTATTTACCGTGGGAAAGACAGACCTTAATAAAATATTCACATAAAATTATGTTACAGAATTGAGAATTTGAAGAGTTACAAAGACCATGGCATTTATTCTTTGTCAATGTCCAAGGCGATATGTATATCTTTTTACTCCTTACTGTATTATCTGGTAATTTGTTTTGTTGAGTCTTCAGTTCAGGAAGACTGAAAGTCTGACAGTTTCTAATTATGAATTTGTATTGGATTCCATTATTATTAAACATGTAGCTTCTCATGGCCTTAGGTTTATAGTCAAAAATTGTTCTGCAAATATGGGTTCTGCACTTTAATGCTATTGAGAAACCATGGAGATACAGCTGGCTTTTTTTATTTTGTTTTTTTGTTTTCTGGATCACTACAGGCAATCTCTCACATACCCAAAGCCACAGGTGGAGTATTCCTCCATCAGTTGTATTCTTCTCCCCACAATTGGTGCTTAGGATTTACCTCCTGGTCTTATGCCACCATGAACTGTCTTTATCCTTAATGCATAGCACAGTGCCTGGCCCACCGTCAGTGCTCCAGAAATGTTTTCCAGGCAAATAAATATATTCTCCCCTCCTATATCCCCTTTCACTTCATCAAGCCATGGTAAGGACAGGGAAGGGAACACAGAAGAGAAAATACACTCTTTATTCTTGTCCCCCAAACCACCCCTGTTCCCAGGATGTATATGCATTACCCTATGTTCCCCAGTCCTCCCATCTCTTCCTATCTCCTCTCCCAAATGGCTACAGATTACAGACACTTCTTATTTTTAAAATGCCTAGAGGACTTAAAAGTCTGGACTTGCCACAAAATTATGAATGCGTCTTCAATGTTTTGTTTACCTGATTTATTTGATTAAATGCAAATTTGGTGTCATTTGATATCCTAGCAGGGAACAAATACTTGATAGACATCTGACAAATTAAATGGAATAAGCTATTTAAAATCATCTTTAGTGAAGCACTGCAGTACAGTGAATAATGTTCATATCATGTGACCTCTCTAAGCAGTAATGATCATAGTACTCCTCTTATAAGTGTTGTGATTACACAAGGTAATGCATATAAAAAGCTTAGCACAGCACCTGGCCCATAGCAATTATTACATAAATATCAATGAGCAGGTATTCTTAGTAAAGTAGTATTAGTAAATTGAATATCTTCATAGAGGAAATAAACCCAATAAAATAAAATATTGACGTCATGTGTTAATGCTCAGTAGACAGTTGAAAATACTAGAAGAAATATTCCAGAAAATCCAGGACAGACAGTGACCAGTGGTGACCTCCCATTTGTGTACTGAAGCCCATCTCTAGATCCCACCAGGGGTATCCCCCTGAACATCCCAACAACAGCTCAAAAGCAACATTAAAAATTGGATTCATTTTTCCAGGGTGATATGAAACAGGCCAATTTATGACTAATTACCAATTGACTCCAAACATTTGGCATTGGAAGATGATATATAAAAGGAGATAAAGAAAAAGATATGGCCAGCTACAAATACAAGACAAAAATCTCAGTGGACCAGAAACAGAAACACAGAGTAGTTAGTGGAGTTGATGCTGTGGGCTAACTGACTTGACTGCAGAAACAGTCAAAGACATCCTAGAATTCAACTCCTGCAGGATTAAATGTGGTATGTCTCAGCTTGTAGGGAACCAGGCTCACTGTTTCATGCCAGGGCATGAAAGGGGGATAAAAAAATAAAAGACAGTTGACTGCTGACTCAACTTATGACTTTATCAGCAACTAAGGCTCAGGAGGCAAGGGACAAGGAGAGACTCATTACTAGTAACTGATCCATTTACTTGCTCATTTAGTCAATAAATGTTCATTGAGCACCCATAACATACCAGGTACTTGGCTGGGCACTAGGGCTACAGTGGTGAAAAAGATGGGACCAGGCCCTGTTTTGCTGAAGTATATATTTTAACAGGGAAGACAAACTGAAAATAAAAGCAACAACAAAAATAAGTAAGGAGGCAAATAAAATAATTATGAGTTGTGATGAAAATAAACGAGGCACTGAGTTACCAAATACATGTAGCCTATTTAGATGAGGTGGTGGGAGGTGAGGTAACATTTAAGCTGAGCCCTTAAGTGCAAAAGAAGTGAGCCATACAGAGTAGGGATGAGGGACGGGAAGAGCACTCTGGACTATCCAAAGGCCCTGAGGAAGTGCATGCTGCCATCAAAGACAGGAGAGGAGGCTGGAGTGTCTACAGTCATGTGGGAGAAGAGTGGCAAAATATTAGGCTGGCAAGACAAGCAGGAGTCAGATGATGTAGGGCATAGGAGTTAGGATTTTATAAATGCAATAGAGAAATCACTGAAGGCTTTATGAAAGGAAGTGACAAGGCTGAATTATGTACTGAGAAGCTCTGCTACTGGATGGAGAATGAGCTGAGGGAATGAGGGTAGAGGCAAGAGTGGAAGAAGAAAGCAAGAGTAGAAGCAGAAGAGGCAAGAGTTGAAAAAAGGGTAAAGTGGAGGGGGTGAAGGCTATTGCACTGAATCTGGAAAGACTTCCACTTAGTTTAGATGTTACTGTACACATGAAAGGAGAAACAGCTTAACCTTTGTAAAAGCAGTTCAGTCACTGGACAATCAATTTATGGAGCTGTGCTAAGAGCTGGGAATACACGGGTGTTTATAGCTCTTGAGGATATAATTACAATACAATAAAATAAAAGCCATAATTTGAAAAATGTATACAAGGTATACTCCTGGAGGAAGTGGGAGAGCTCATCCTAAATACAAGATTAAGTTTCTATGCATTGCCTGTAATCCACAAAGGAATTCATTAATCCGTAAGTGTCTATGAGGTGTCAGACAGCAAAGAGTGAAACAGTGCAGAGTTTGATGTGTCCCCATTGTCCTTCACTGAAATAAAAACATGGCAGAAAGAGCATAAAAGAGAATGTTTTCATTCGTGAGAACGTTATCTCACGTCAGCATAATTAGCAACAGCAACAAAGAGATCATGTAAATCACAAATCATCTGTGTTGTAAAATACATCCCAAAGGATAACCAAGTACGATGACAAGAAAACAGAGGAAGAACTTAGATACCATGAGGAAACAGTCAAATCAAAAATTGGGGATGCACTACAGGAAGACTGGAAGAGCCTCCTTTTCAACAAGGCAATGGGATGGGAGGAAGGGAGGCAAAGGGTAAAATTGCCCTAGATTGAGACTTAACTACATGCAGTGAGTGGTCTATGATTGGATGCTAGTTGGTACAAACAGGTGTAAAAGACATCTGTGGAACAACAGGGGGTGGAGGGATTTAAACATGAACTAGGTGTTAGGTGAAGCGCCTACACTTAGTTGGGTGTGCTAATAATATTGTGGCTATGTAGGGAAATGTCCCTAATTTTTAGAGATGCATTAGAAACTAGAGGTGACAAGTTATGAGGTTTGTGGTTTTACAATATTTAAAGAAAACATTATATGCGACAAACATTGCATAATGTTGACTTATTAAATAAAAGTTACGTGTATATAGGAAATAAGGCTTTTGAATAAGGCTTTTGACAGGGAGCGAAGTCCACCCCTTCTCTACCTCTCGACCTCGGTTTCGCTGCTAAAGCTCCGCCCTCTCTAGGGGTCTCTTCCACCACCCTGTGAAAGGAGCTACCTAGCTTGCCTTAGGTAGATAGCAAGGGAAGGGTCCCTGGAGAGCCCGCCCCCGTCCATGGGTCAGTGTCTCATCTCCACATAGCATAAAACGCAGCCTGGGAAAACATTCACGTTGCAGACACCGATAAGGGAACTAGCACAGGGTGTTGTGCCTATAGATATGCCCACGGCTGCACAGATAGAAAAACCTCGGGCCGTTTGGATAAAAACTTGCACAGAACCTCCAGCTCACTCAGATAAGGGAACAAGGCCTGGCACATAATGCCTTTGTCCTTTGTATAGTCAGCAGGTTCCCAGGAAAAGTTTCTTCTCCTTTGTGGGTATGGGCACGGTGGGCTCTGGTAGGTTCCGGCGGGAGCTCTACTTTCCTTCATTAGCACGATAAGCCCAGCTTCTATGAATCATCGCCTCAGCCCCTGATTGGTCCGGGCCCAAGCTTTCACATCAGATTCTGATAGGTCCTGGGCCAAGCTAAGCCGCATCTATGAATCATCATTTCAGCTCCTGATTGGTCCTGGGCCAAGCTCAGTCAAGCGTTCGCCAAGACAGCCCGCAGACTAAGCGCATTCTCCTTTCCAGTCCACAAAAACGTCAGAACGGGCCCCATAGTGGGTACTCCGGGTCGGGAGCCTATCTCTGCTGGCAGAGAGCTTTTTCTTTTCGCTTATTAAACTTTCGCTCTAACCTCACCTTTTGTGTCTGCGCTCCTTAATCGTCTTGGAGGCAGGACAAAGAGCTCCGGGCGTTATCTCAGACAAGGAAAGGCTGTTTAACCTTCAGGATCAGGGGCGGGACCTCCACCTACTCCACTGGGACTTCAGGCCAGTGAATGTGTAGGGGCGTGGGTCACGCCTGCGCAGACGTTCCCTCCCCGCCTACTTCGAGGCACAGTCCTGAAATGTTCGGGACCCTGGCGGGTCGCGACCAGGGACCAAGACTCACCTTCGGGGCACCGGGAAGCTACGGAACAGGTGGCGGGGCTGCAGCACCCCAATGACCGATCAACCGCAAAGGCCGGAAATGCGTCAGCCGTTCTGAGCCCACTGGCTGAAGCCAGGCAACTCTTTCCTTTCTAGGAATTCCAGAGGTGGCTGCATCTTGGTGACTCCCTTATTGCAAAACCCGGGGCCAAAAATCCCAGCCTCACTGGTTACGAGGCGGAGAAATGCGGCGAGGGATTTCTATGGGGAGCGGCCCCCAGCATTTAGGAGCTAGATGGTCATCGAGACGCAAAACATTAGAGCTGGAAGGTGTTAGGAAGATATAAAGGAAGAGAGCGAGTAACAGGAGGCAATTCCACGGCCAAACAGGTTTATTCACAGGAATAAGCCTGCGAAGAGTTCCAGTCAGGAATCTGGCTGATACTCTGATCGCTTACAAGCTGAGGCTTTTATAATAAAGTTCCTATTGGGGAGGGGTTGGGGAAGTGCTGGCCAGTTGGAACTGTTTGCAGACTTTCCAACTGGGGACAGATGTGGTTAGGGTCATTGGGCTCTGTTGCGGTTAGGGCTGTAATGCTCTGTTGAAGCTGAGGGCAGGGTTAACATTTGCTTTGTTTCTTGAGAACACAGTCATCAAGGTTGTAAAATGGCATCACTATTGTTAGTCCTCACAGAAGAGACTTCATACTTTTTCTGTCTCTAATACTTACCTATGCTTCTCCTAGTCTGTCCACTTCCTCTGGTCTCTTTGACATCACAAAGGGGAGATGGTAATGGTGGGGACGAGAATACAGAGTTGTTTTTGTTGTGGTCTTGTTATTTTGTTTTTTACTCTCAAACCTCTGTCTTCTGGAATCCCAAAGTCTAGAAGAAGAGCATGTAAACAAGTAACTACGTAAAACTGATGCATGTGAAATGAAGTAAAATAAAATCAGTGCTTGTAAATCGATGAGGATAGTCTCTGGAACATATAAAATGCTAAGTACGTATGTAGGAAATAAATGTATGTATTAGTTTGAATTCGTGGCATGAAAGAGAGAGGAAAACTAATGGGGCAAAACAAGAAGCAGCAGGAATCTGCCAGTGTGCACTGGAAAAGGAGCAAAGGAAATAAATTTCTGGGAGAGGGAATCAAATGTACAAAAGCAGAACTGGGGTGAGATCCTTTGGTACATCCACAGAACTGGGCTGATCAGCATGACTGGAGAGTGGATTATGTGGCAGGGGCACCAGCTCTTACTTTTTTTGGATCCCTAACCAAGGAATTTGAGCAATCTGATCAAATTTACTTCTAGAAATGTTATATTGGCAGCCATGTGGGGATGGACTGTAAGGAAATGAGTCTACAAGCAGGGAGACCAGCTAGGAGACTACTACAAGAATCCAGGGTAGAGAGAGTGAGGGCCTGAATCAAGGCAGTAGCAATAGAAATCGAGAAGACAGATAATACATGTTAAGAGGTTGAATTGATTTTTTACAATTCATTCATTCCATATATAGGAAATCCATATATAGATTTCCATTGAATGCTATCTTTGTGCCAAGGGCTTGCTGGATATAATAATGAAGGACACAAAGTCCTCATCCTCATGGGGTTTATAATGTAATGAGGAATACAGACAGAGGGAGATCCATTTTATACAATTCAAGAGACCCTACTTGAGAAAAAGAATTCAAAATTACAAGTACAAACATAGGTATGAAAATGGAGATTTAGGTCAGGTGTAATAGCTCACACCTGTAATCCCAACACTTTGGGAGGCCAAGATAGGAGGATCTCTTGAGTCCAGGAGTTCAAGACAAGCCTGGGTGACATAGTAAGACTCTGTCTCTACAAAAAATAAAAAATATTAGCCAGGCACAGTGACTCATGCTATTAGTCTCAGCTACTGGGGAGGCTGGGCAGGGAGAATCAGCAGTTGTAGTAGCCATGATCATGCCACTCCACTCTAGCTTGAGTGACAGACTGAGGCACAGTCTCCAAAATTAAAAAAATATATATAAATAAAAAAAAAAGAAAAGAAAGAAGGAAAAAGAAAAAAAAATTGAGATTTAGCATGGAAAATGGGCCAGGCATGGTGGTTCACGCCTGTAATCCTAGCACATTGAGAGACTGAGGCAGGCAGATTGCATTAGCTCAGGAGTTCAAGACCAGCCTGGGCAACATGGTGAAACCCCATCTCTACCAAAAATACAAAAATTAGCCAGGCATGGTGGCACATGCCTGTGGGTCTGAGGTGGGAGGATTGTTTGAGCCTGGGAGGTGGAGGTTGCAGTGAGCTGAGATTGTGCCACTGCACTCCAGCATGGGTGACAGAGTGACACCCCATCTCAAAAAATAATAATAATAAATAATAAAAATAGAATGGAAAATACATTCTTTATATCACATTACAATTTTTTTTTTGAGATGGGGTCTCATTCTGTCAACCAAGCTGGGGTGCAGTGGTGTGAGCATAGCTCACTGCAGCCTCAAACTCCTGGGCTCAAGCAATCCTCTTGCTTCTGCCTCCTAAAGTGCTGGGATTAAAGGTGTGAGCTGCTGTCACCACACTCAGCCATACTACACATTTTAAAGTCTCCCAACCATCACAAACAAAAATCAGAAAAATAACAAAATATTTTTATTATTTAACTGCCTGACACCTATAGTAACTCTCCCCTAATTTGTTGGCTTTATGTTCTTGGACTGCTTCTTCATACGTTAATTTCATAATTTAAATTTTTCTAGAAAGAATAAAAAGTTAATGTAGCCTTTCCTCTAGCATAGTTGATCAAAAGCTTTTCAAATTGTTGACATTTGAGTAAACTTCTATCAAGTTTCTTTCAATTATGACCTACAAGATTTCAGGACATTAAAATTTTTTTATGTGGGGACTAATCTGAGAATCTCTGTGTTGATGACACATTAACTAGTTGGTCTTAGATGTCCTCATTGCCAATGGCATATTATGTTGTTTTTGTCAATATCGGTATTTTGTGTCAAATGTGCAAGAAATTTAAATCTCTTTTCAATGTGTTCAGTGATTCACTTTTCTTCACTAGAGAATTAATCCAAGAGCCTATTTTTTACCATATTCAAAGTTTAGCTTTTTTTCTTAATGAGTTGCTGATTTCATATACTTTGACATTGTTTCTTTTGTTATAATTTGCTTCCTGATGTCAGAATAATTTCCATTGATTTTATTATCTTTCTTTTGTTTCTCATTCCATGAACTTTTTTGGCAGGGGGTGGGGAAGGAGTCTTGCTCTATTTCCCAGGATGGAGTGCAGTGTCTCGATCTCAGCTCATTGCAACCTCTGCCTCCCGGGTTCAAGCGATTCTCATACCTTGAGTATCTGGGATTACAGGCATGTGCCACCATGCCCAGTTAATTTTGTATTTTTAGTAGAGACAGGGTTTTGCCATGTTGGCCAGGCTGGTCTCAAACTCCTGACCTCAGGTGATCTGCCCACCTTGGCCTTCCAATGTGCTGGGATTACAGGCATGAGCCACCATGCCCAGCCTCCATTAATTTTTAAATTTAAATTTGCTCTCAGTTCTTTAATAAATTATTTCATTTTGTAATTTAGCATTTATTGCTTAAATCATGCCAAAATATCTTTTCAAATTGTAGTTAAAATGATTTATTTCTAAGATAGTGTCCCCTTACCAGATGCTAAAATTCTCTGTTGTTATTTCAGTGCCACTCAACAAGAGAAAAATAAGAGATGGGGAGTCAGAAATGGAAACAAACAAACAGTGGTTTAAACACCTGTTGCTAAAATATCCATTTTTTCCCGTCAAATTTTGCAAGTTTATGAACCATGTAAACACATTGCTAGGTATCATTCCAGGCCAGGGCATTTGAAGAAACATGCAAATGTAGACTCACTTATGCTTTATAGACTTAAAAATAAACCCATTTCTGAATAAGTAAGTGCTGCAGTGGAAATAGACAGGAATCTGATGACTGTTACAGTAATTACAGTACCCATCTTTAATTTATCACAGCCTAATTGGAAATAATATTGTATCACTTCACATTTTAGTCTTAGTTGCATATTTAACACTTTCCATTTCACATATAGACAGAAACTTACAACACTATTATTCCTTTGCTCTTGCCCATTGATATGGTTTCGCTGTGTCCCTACCCAAATGTCATCTTGAATTGTAGTTCCCATAATCCCTACATGTGGTGGGAGGGGCCCAGTGGGAGGTAATTGAATCATGGGGTGGTTTTCTCCGTGCTATTCTCATGATACTAAGGTCTCATGAGATCTGAGGTTTTATAAGGGGTTTTCCCCTTCACTCTGTTCTCTTCTCTCTCCTGCCACCATGTGAAGAAGATGTTGCTTCTCCTTCTGCCATGATTGTAAGTTTCCTGAGGTCTCCCCAGCCATGCAGAACTGTGAGTCAATTAAACCTCCTTTCTTTATAAATTACCTGGTCTTGGGTATTTCTTCATAGCAGCATGATAACAGACTAATACACCCATCTTTTGTAGTACTATTCTTATATATTTTACTTCTCTGTATGTTGTAACTGCCAGCTTAAAATGATACTATTTTTGCTTTAAATGATCCCTTGTTTTTTAAAGAAATTAACTAAAAAGCAAGGCTTTTATATTCACATGCATATTCACCATTCTGATGCTCTTCATTCCTTCTTGTAGATCTGAGTTTCCAGCCTCACGTCCCTTCGGTCTGAAGATTTTTTGTTTTTCTTTAGGGTATGGTTTTGGTTTGGTTTGGTTGGTTGGTTTTCCATGCAGGTGCAAGTCTGCTGGAGAAGGATTTTTCAGTTTTCATTTAATAGAAAATGTCTTTATTTCACTCTTATTTTTGAAGGACATTTCCACTGGATTTAAAATTCTGGGTTAGGAGTGACATCAGAAAGATGGCAGAATTGGAAGTACTAGCCCTGTTCCCCTACAGAAATGCTGATTAACAATTATATATGGATCAACATATCCTTATGAGAATTCTAGAATCAACTTAAAAAGTTGCAGTACCCCAGGTGAACTAAAAGCCAAAACTGCTACATTGAAATGGGTAAGAAGTACAATTTCACTTTACACAATGTCTTAGTCCAGTCAGGCTGCTATAACAAAATACCTTAAACTGAGTAATTTATAAACAACAGAAATTCATTGCTCACAGTTCCGAGGGCTGAGAAGTCCAAGGTCAAGGCAATAGCAGATTTGGCATAGAGTGAAAACTTTTCTCTACTTTATAGATATGGTGCGTTCTATGTGTCCTGTTTTGGTAGATGGGGCAAATAGGCTCCCTCTAGCCTTTTCTTATAAGGGCACTAACCCCATTCATGAGGGCAGAACTCTCATTACCTAATCACTCCCAAGTCCTCACCTTTTAATGCCATCACCTTGGGGGCTAGGTTTAAATGTAAGAATTTTGGGGGAACATAAACTTCAGACCATAGGGGTCATGTCAGCCCTTCCCCCAAGTGGGCACAGCTCAGAGCTAGGTGACAATGTCCTGGCTTATGAATTCTTTCTTGGGAGAAAGAAAAAATTGGAGCATGCATCCTCTGTTCTGGCTCTTTGGAGGGTGGCCCAAAGGACTGGTTTCTATCTTACCTCATTCGGAGAGCTGAGGGAACTGTCATAGTTTGGATGCCTGGGAGCCACTAAAAACAAAGAAGAGTTGGGGTAGCTTATGAGCTGCATAAATAACCCTGAGAAATAGCATGGGCAAAAGAATGATCAGGGCCTTGCATTGTTGGCATATACTGTAAGACGTGTCGGAACACAAAAGGCCCTAGAAAGAATGTTCTACTAATATTTTTTTTAGAATTTAAGTAGAAAACGTATTTATAATGACTTTGAAATGGTAGAGCTGTTTTTGAGGACCACAGATGCGTTGGAAGAAAGCAATGGAATTGGGTGATTATGAATGTAAGGCGAAGTGAAAAATTCAGAGACATTCCTGGTACCATATAAAGAGTCTCCTTCAGCCACAGGGAAGCAAAGGCTGAGGATCAGGCCTGGGGCTCAGCTGAATGTGTAGCAGAGCTTGAGAAAAGATGTCACATCCAGCAGGCTTGCTACGCTAATGCCAGAGAGCTAATTGGAAAGAAATGGAACTCTACAATTGAGGATACGGGTATCTAGGCCAAAGCACTAAAAAGTCTTGACTCCTCAGATTCTCCTGAACCCTATGGACCTTCAAAAGTATCCCATTCCTCCCTAGTGTTCTCTACTTGCTTGAAGATGTGTGCCCGCTCAGGACACACCTCACCACCACAACTGGACACTATGTTAGTTCCTAGGGTTACATCACAGCAAAATCTGGCTAGATAAGTACTGGGTCTGCAAAGGGAGTAAAAACACTATCTACCAAAGTTGCTGTAGGACCTAGCCAACACGTAGTGTCAGAACCTAGGATCATACATATAGAATTGGATCCTAAGAGAGCTGGGTCAACAGGAATCTGATATATAAACTTGGATAAGAAAGAATGTATCAAGATAGAGACACTCTACTATGATTTAATATTCTGGCAAGGGCCCTGGGAGATGTTGCTTATATACAGATGAATATTATTTGATCCATAGTACTTTTTTAAAAAATCAAGGGTAAGTGATAAGGCTGAGGGCAACTATCATAATAAAAAGTCTCAAGTCCTTCTGCAGTTTTTGGACTAGAGCTAATTCTCAGAACTGGCTGTGTCCCCAAGAGGACAGACCATGTAGCACTAAACCAAATAGCATATGGAACATTTCCCCAAGTCTTCTACAGAAAGACTGCAGTCCAGGACATTTATTTAGTTAGATATATATTGGAGAAAGGAGGAATATCCAAAGCTTTTTAGGATGAACCTTTTACACAAAGTGTGAGTTGACATTGATACCTAGGTACCCAAAGTGTCATTGTGGCCTCCTGTTAGGATGTGGGCATATAGGGGCCAGATAAGAAATGAAGTTCTGGCCCAGATAAGGCTCATATTGGGTCAACAGACACTCTCTGCCTGCATTGGTCATTTCTCTCATTTCTGAATATAGAACAATATATATTACTCTCATTTCTGAATATAAAAATATGAACATACTTTAGAGTTGGAGTAACCCCACGTTGATCATTTGGGCTAGGGTTTATTATAGAATTATTGTACTGGAAAAAGCCAAGTGGTTGTTTCTGAAACTGCTACCCATTCCCCAACCAAGAGTACTCAGAAAAAAATTTTTGCATCTCAGTGGGAGTGGAAAGGTTAATATCAATCTTAAAGATGAAAAGAATACAAAGGTGGTAGACATGATTATCCCCCACCTTTATCTCACCAGCTCTCTACAAAGCCAGGCAGACTCTGAAGAATGACAGTTAACTACTGCAGACTCAACCAAGTAGTAGCCCCAGTTGCAGCTACAATGCTATATGCAGTATATTTTCTGTAACAGATTAATATGACTTCAGGTACATAATGTGTAGTCATTGATTTGGTAAATGCATTCTTTTCCATCCCTCTTAGAAAGGGGGAACAAAAGCATGAAAAGATACACAAAGGTTTCTATTTCTGGTTGTTTCCCAGGGGCTATGTTATCTCTCCTGCCCCCTATCATATTATAGTCAGAAGGGATGTGGACTAAAGGTACAATTCTAAGGGTGTTATATTGGTTCACTCTACTGATAATGTATTATTCAGACCACATGAGCAAAATGTGATATGTTAGAGGCCTTGTTAGGATACATTTTCTACAGAAGCAGGGAAATATATTCAATTAAGATGTAAATGGAAAGGTAGGGCTGCCACAAAGGTTTTTTGGCCTCTTTTTTCTAAGACATCAGCGACAAAAGGAGTCACTACCCTGGCAGAAGTTAATGGTTCCAATATATCTTCAATGATATATTCTTCAATGAAGAATTATTCTTCAATAATATTCTTCAGTGAAGAATTATTATAATTCTATCAGATCCACCAAGATACCAGATTGGATAGGTCCAGCAACAGTGCCTCACAAGATATGTGTGGTATGTTCAGCATTGGACATGTGCAGGACTAGAGGGCAAATAAGCTTTCTGAGTAGGTGGCCCACATGTTCCTGTCATCCATCTCAACTGCACTAGCACCTATCTTTGAGCTCATCCTTGTGACTATAGGAGTGTGTGATAATTGTGTTTGGTGGAGTTTCCTTATGACTAATTGACAGAGGAGGAAAAATACTGAGTTTGGATTATTTGGGTTAAGTATCATGGTATGTTAGTAAAGGCTGAAAATGGATGGTGGCTATCTTAGAATTCCTCTCTGATGTGATCCTGGCATTAGTAGTCAAGGGAATTCCATCCAATGGGCAGAGTTTTGAATGGTACATCTAGTTAGGTGCAGTTAGTTATCTATATGGCTACAGGTAAAAATATATATAGTACATTTAGGGTAATGATGAATGTCATGTCTGGTTTTTAGGGAACTAGAAGAAAAAAGATTGGGCCAGACATGGTGGCTAACACCTGTAATCCCAGGACTTTGGAAGGCCAAGGCAGGTGGATCACTTGAGGTCAGGAACTCCAGATCAGCCTGGTCAACATGGTGAAACCAGTTCTCTACTAAAACTACAAAAAAAAAGAGAAAAAATTAGCCAGGCATGGTGGCATGTGCCTGTAGTCCCAGCTACACAGGGGGCTGAGGCAAAAGAACTGCTTGAACCTAGGAGGTGGTGGTTGCGGTGAGCTGAGATTGCACCACTGTACTCCAACCCGGCAACACAGTGAAACTGTGTCTCAAAAAAAAAAAAAAAAAAAAAAAAAAAAAAAAAAAAGAAAGTAAAAGAAAAAAGAAAGAAAGGAAAGAAAAATGACTGGAAGATTGAAAACAAAGAGGTCTGGGAAAGAGTCATGTGGATGGACCTATAAGAGTGGGAAGAAAGTCCAAAGATCTCTGTTGTACACATTAAAATCCATTATAGAACATTCACCATGGAAAAGGCAATGAACAAATAAGCAGACAGAATGACCTTGCTGGTTTATATTAACCAGCCTCCATCATTAGCTACCCCAGTGCTGGCAGGATGGACTCATGAACAAGGTAAACATAGCAGCAGAGATGGAGGCTATCTATGCCTAACAGCATGGTCTCTCCCCGCTCAGTGGCGCCTGGCTATAACTGAATGTCCAACTTACTTGCAACAAAAATTAATATTGAGTATTGATATGGTAACACATCATGAAGGGACCAATCCCATCAGTGGCAAGTGATTCATCTTGAATCACTAGAATTAACAAATATTCTGGTGTGGGTTTGCCTCTTCTGCTCACAGGACTCAGCTAGTACTATTATCCAAGAACATACAGAATCACTGATCCACTGACATAGGATCTGGCATAACTTCACATAGGTTCAAAGAAGGTGTAGCAGTGAGCACATGACCATGGGATCCACTGATTCTATCACACACTTAGCCACCAGGAGCATGCTGGCCAGATAGAGCATAGCTTTGAAAGCATAGCTAAAGTACCAACTTACATATGATACCCTGAAACAATGGGGTGTCATCCTCCAGAGCAAAGTATAAACACCCTAAAACAATAATTATTATGTAGTGTTTGTTTCCTAGTATGCAAGTATACATGCCTGGGAACAAAGTATAAGTAGCTCTGAATTCCCTCACTCCTAGTGATCCACATAGGGAAAGATGTGCTTTCTATGTACCCTCTTGATTCTAGGCTCTGTGAGTCCAAAAGTCTTTGTTCCTAGAAGAACATTTTCACCATGACAAATACGGAGTCCCTGTAAACGGAAAGGTAGGGCTGCCACACAGATTTTTTCGCCTCCTTTTTCTGACATCAGCAGACAAGAAGAGGAGTCACCACCCTGGCAGAAGTTGATGGTTCCAATATCAAGAGAAGGTAAGGCTGCTGTTACACAGTGGGGACAGGGAAAAGTGAAGTTTGTCACTCATGTTATCCATTAGGTTGTCTCTTACTTCTTGCTTCTCCTCAGTACAATCTTTTTATTTTTATTTTTTTTTTAATTTTTATTTATTTATTTTTTAGACTGAGTCTCACTCTGTGTCTCCCAGGCTGGAATGCAGTATGCAGTGGCATGATCTCAGCTCACTACAACCTCTGCCTCCCAGGTTCAAGCAATTCTCATGCCTCAGCCTCCTGAGTAGCTGGGATTACAGGCACCCGCCACCACACCTGGCTAATTTTTGTGGTTTTAGTAGAGATGGGGTTTCACTGTGTTGTCCAGGCTAGTCTTGAACTCCTGACCTCAAATGATTCACCTGCCTCAGTCTCCCAAAGTGCTGGGATTATAGGTGTGAGCCATGGCACTCAGCCTCCTCGGTACAAGCTTTATTATTAAATGGACAAGTGCAACAGCCACAATCTGAGAGGAACATAGTTACCAGAGTGTTTTGGTCACCTACCAGGTAAACTACCTAAATGATCACAGATGATAGTAAAGGATGAGGGGAATCTAGAATGGATAGTAGAGGAGAGAGACAGTAAATATCCTTTATGACTTTAAGATATGCTACAACACTAGGAACTGTAAATCTTTTTACTAATCTATTCTTATAAATTTCCTCAGGAAGAAAGGAAATTATAAATATTCCTCTGGAATAGTTATTTCCGTTTCTTACTATACCAAAACAAACAGGAGAGTAGGTAGCTGATGTCTCTTAATTGAGCCTGTCTCTGGGAATTTTCCTTGGTCAAAAAGTTGCCTCACAGAAGGTTACATTCCTTCCACCTCATGCCCCTTACATCAAGGCAAAGCAATTCTTAAGGACTGTCCCATCCCTTGAGCTCCTGAGAGGATCAGCTGGAGCCTCTCTTGTAACTGCACCACAGTTCAACTACTCTGCCTAGCCCTATTTCTTTAACTTCTCTTGAGTGTTATTCCTGAAAGCACAACTCACTAAAATTCTTGCTTAAAAATCCCAGAGTAACCTTATCTCTGATACCCTCTATTGTTCACTCCACCTCAGCCAATCTGGCTCTCTTGCTGTTTCCTCTACCAGGAACACTCTTCCTTAGATACGCAGAGGGCTAACTCCTTCATCTCCTTCAGATCTTGGCCAAAATGTCACCAGACTTACACCATCTTATTTATATTGAAGTTAGCCCCCTCTCATGCCAGGACTTCTCATCTCTCTACCCTGATTTTCTTCTTTTTCTTCCTCTCCTTTCCCTTTTTAAAATCACAGTGCTTATCAACTTCCATTCCAGTTTATGTATTTATTTATTCTGCTTAATTCTTTTCTTTGTTTTTGTTTATTTTATTTATTTATTTATTTTTGATTCAGTCTCCCTTGGAACATTAGCTGTATGAGAACAGGGGTCTTTACCTTTTATTGCCCTTGTTATATCCTGAGCATCTGAAACTATGTCTGGCCTAGACTAGTCAATTAACATTTTTGTTTATGTACAAGAGCTCCTACAGGGTAAGTCCTTTGAAGCTGCTGGGCCAATGTGTGTATCATTTTTAGGTTTACCATATATTTCAACTTTACTATATAATTCAAAATTGCTTCTTTAGATGAGTGTACCAATTTATAGTCCCAGCAACTATGTATGAGAGTCTCAAAATTTTCACATTCTTGTCAGTGTTGGTATAAAATGATTTACAATTTGCCTTTATTTAATTGCTAATGATTAACTATATATGCTTATGTTTATTGGTCATTCAAGATTCCTCTCTGGGAATTGCCTGTGCATATTTTTTGCCTTTTTTTTTTTTTCCTACATGATTGTTGACTTTTTCTCTCTCACTCATTTGGAGATGTTAATTATATATTCAGTGGACTGATCCTTTGTCGACTGTATGTGTTGCAAATATCTTCTCCCAACCTTTTAATTTAACTGTCTTTTCCATTAGTTTCTAGTATCTTTTGATATAGTTTTAATTTTTAATGAGGTCAAATTTATTTATTGTTTTCCTTATAGCTTGTATGTTTGTGCAGTTTAAAAGAAATCTTGCTTTACTTGAGCTCATAAAAAAATGATTCTATAGAAGCAAACTTGTGAATAGAAAAAAGAGCAATGATTCTAAATTTTCTTTTAAAAGTCTGAAAGTTTGCTTACTGGAATTGATTTTTTGTGCAACATATAAAGTAGAAACCCAATTTTATTTTTTTTCCATTTAGATATCCAAATATTACAGTACTATTTGTCAAGTAGCTCCTTTCTTCCTCCCCGATTTGTAATGCAATTTCCGTCATATATCAAGCAGCCACACATACATGTTTGTTGCTCAGTCCTCAGTTCTGTTTCACTGGTCTATTTGTCTGTAGTTGTGCAAATACTATATTGTCTTAGCTGCTATAAATTTATAATAAATTATATAGGGCAAGTTTCTGCAGCTCCTTCATTTGTTTTAAAAATGGATTCATCACTCTTTAATTATTCCATATAAATTTAAAATCAACTAGTCAAGTTCCACCGAGCATAATTGGAATCTTGATTTGCTTTGTACTGAATTTGTGTATTATTTTAGGAAGGAATTATATCTTTATGATATTGAGTTCTCATATATATAGACATGGTATATATTTCACATACTTATCCTTAATGAATAAAGTTTCTAATGTATCTTTTGTGTATTCAGGTATCTTTTGTGTTTCTTTGCTTCTGTGATAGCTGTCTTTTAAAAATCACATTTTTATAATTTTGATGAAGAATGTGATTGTGAACATGAATTTTAAAAAGTCCAGCCACCTTGGTAAACTCTCTTATTAATCATCGTAATTTGAGTGTTAGATTATCTTGGATTTTCTATGTAAACCACGCAGCATACTCCTTAAAATTCATGTATTTAGAATTCATAGTTTAATTAGGCAATGCAATCAACTCTAAAATTAAAAGTACATTTAAAACACGTACCCTAACACTTTCCTTCTCACTCTTGTCCCCCTTTTCACTCAGTTTCTGACCGTTCACCTCTCATAGGTAACCACCATTATTAATTTTCCGATTTTTCCAGAGCTTCTTTGTGCCACACAGGCAAGCATAGTTTAGATTCTTTTTACTCTCTTCTATTCACAAATATAGCAAATTATGGAAAGAGTTCTGCACCTTGCCTTTCTCCCTTAGTTATAGCTGGAAAAATAAAAAAATCAAAAGCCTCTTTAATAGCAAAAGGGGAGGGGAAACGAGGTGTCGAGCTAGCAAACGACAGAGTCTATCAGGGAGGTGGCTAGAGAGGCCCGGAAGTGGCTTCTGTGCCCCGCCTTGCGGGTGGTTTGCTAGTTTCGAGCACTTTGTGAGTATGGGGTGAGTAGCGGACGCCAGTTGGGCGTCCGCCTTCCACTGTGGGGTTAAATCTCATCCCGCGGCTCTCCTCCTGTCGGTCCTGCAGTTCTTTTGTCCCCTGGTGGAGGTGCGTTTGCAGGGGTGTGTGTGTGTGTGTGAATTTGTGGAGAGAGGCCCTTCCCTCCCCAATTCCTGCAGCCTCGGCTCCCAAGGAGGGAGACCCCTGCGAGAAGCCGTGGGGGAGGGAGGGGCGCTCTGCGTCTGAACGAAGTGGTGCTCGGCGTTCTTTCGTAGAGCCCAATATGAGTGTCCCTTGTTTAGCGCCGTTACCGAGTGTCTGGGTCGGTTCTTGAGGGTATCTGGAGACGGGATGCATGGGTCACATAGACAAGCCTCGAAAATGGGAGCCGTTACATTTTTGCACTGCCTGGTAACAAGGTCAGTTTCAAGGTCTTTAAATTATTCTGTGGTACTGGCCAAGAGCCAGAACGTTGGAGTCAGATTACCTGATTCGAATCCTGCCTCTGCCACTTATTGGCTGTGTGACTTTTCACTAGTTCCTAACCTCTCTCTGCCTCATTTTACTATTTTGCAAAATGGGGATAATATTCCTTAACTCACTGGGTTGTGAGGATTGAATGCATTAATATGTGTAAGGTGCAGAGTAAGCATGATTTAAAGATTTGCTTTTATTAGTAGTACCATTATTATTTATAACTATGATGACACATTATCTTTAATTACTGGTTTTTGTACGGTTGCTTTCAATTTTAGTGTCATTCATCAATTCACTTTGTAATGGATTATTTCTATATTTTAGGAGGGAAAAATAAGATACTCTGAAAAAGAGCCTATCCCAAAGCAAAGACCAAAACTGGTTTGTGTTGTACGTTGTGATACTCAAACTCCCAAAGGCTTTAAGATTCGGGGGTACCTTTTCCTTGGCTGGAGAGTAGGAGGAACAATAGAAGTTTTTAATAGTGAAAAAGGACGAGGACCCCTGGTTTTAGCAAAAATCTGATGTCCTGCTTAGTGCTGGAGATGCACCAGTTTTTGAGCTTCCAGGAACGCCCTAGCCTGAAACTGGCTTCCTACTAACACCCTTCATTTCAACCCAACTTCCACAGGGTTAACTCTCTTTTCTAGACTTGTAACTCTTTTCTGTTAATGAGAAACTTTCCTTTCCTTATCGTCAGTATATTTACTGATTTGATAAATAATTTGTGTTTGCAACCAATTTCCCAATCTTGTGCCTTCCCACTGTGATCAATTTGGCTCAGATCCAAGTAGGGTCCAGGTAGTGAAACCTAAATGGAGTTTGTGGAATAAATGATATAAATGTATCAGTGTTGTTTTCCTGCCATAGACTTCCTCCCTTTCCCACCATGGACACCCTCCTCATTCCACTTGGACTCCAGATTCACTCTGGGTTGGGCTGTGGCTCTCTCTTGCCTTCTTTGACCCTACCTTAATGCTTTTTGACTGTATTATTCAGGAAGGAAGGAAGTTAGGACTTTGTTCAATTTTCTAAAATTTTGGAGAGAAATTTAAACACATTTAATTGTAGAGAGAATGTTACAGTGAACACCAATATAACCATGACTCGGCTTCAGCCATCATCTTCTGGTCATTTTCATTCTTCTTTTCCCTTCTTTCCCCTCTCTTTCCTTCCCTTCTCCTCCTCCTTCCCTTCTGTCTTCCTCCTTCCCTTTTACCTGTTCCCTCTTTCCCTCTCTCCTTTTTTTCCCTCTCCCTCCTTTGTCTTCCTTTCCCTCCCTCCCTCTCCCCCTCTTTCTTTATTTCTTTTTTTTTCCTCATTACATCCCTCCTCTCTTTCATTTTATAACAAATTGCAGATGGAAACATTTTAATTCACTCACAAGTACAAGTACTTCAGTGTCAATTTCTTATATATAAGGACTTTTATCTTGATATAATCATAGTATCATCACATGCAACAAAATTGACAGTAATTCCATGATATCATTATCTTGATTTTCAAATAATTGTCTCAAATATTTTTACAGTTTTTTTGTTTTTGTTTTTTTTTTTTTTTACAGTCTTTTTACAGTTGTTTTCAGTGGGGTCCAAATATGGTTCACCATTTGCATTTATTTGATAAGTCTGTTCAGTCTCCTAATCTACGACTGTTCCCATTCCCTCCCACTCCTTTTGGTAAAAATACCATTTATTTGTTGAGGAACTTGAACCTTCTGTTTTATAAAATGCCTCACATTCTGGATTTGGTCGATTGCTTCTTTTTAGTATCTTTAACTTATTAGATCTCAAACTCAGCTGCACATTAGAATCACCTAGAAAGTTTTAAAAGTTATTAATGCTGAGTCCCACCCCCAGAGAGTGATTTAATTGATTTTTTTTTTTCATTGCTATCTCCACCTCCCAGGCTCAAGTGATTCTCATGCCCACAGCCTCCCAAGTAGCTGGGATTACAGGTGTGTACCACCACGCCCAGCTAATTTTTGTATTTTCAGTAGAGACAGGGTTTCGTCATATTGGCCAGACTGTTCTTGAACTCCTGACTCCAGGCAATCTGCCTCAGCCTCCCAAAGTGCTGGGATTACAGGTGTGAGCCACTGCACCCAGCCTGATTGATCTTGATTGTACCCAAGGCATTAGGAGTTTTAAAAGTTCCCTAGTGATTCTAATATGTAACAAAGTTTGAAAGCCTTTAATATAATTTTTTCCTATATTTTGCCTGTACACTGGTATTTGGATCTAAAGACTAGATTAGATTTAGGGTCACTTATTTTGGTATTATTAGCTCATGTAGCAGTGCCCCAGATCTCTTGTGGCAACTTATTAGGAGGAAGTGTTTTCTGGTACTTTTCATTTGTAACAATCAATGGGTTCTCTCAGTTTCCTAATTTCCTTCTATTCCCTACCATCCTTTGAACTATAGAGAGTTGGCCTGAGGAATAGAGGTTCAGGATACAGATTTGGAATTGTTTTTCCCTTTGTAACCTCTACCAGCCTTACTTTTTTTTTTTGAGACGGTCTTGCTCTGTTGCCAGGCTGGAGTGCAATGGCACGATCTCGGCTCACTGCAACCTCTGCCTCCCAGGTTCAAGTGATTCTGCTGCCTCAGCCTCCCAAGTAGCTGGGACTACAGGCGCCTGCCACCACGCATGCCCAGCTAATTTTTGTATTTTTAGTGGAGACGGGGTTTCACCACGTTGGCCAGGATGGTCTCGATCTCTTGACCTTGTGATGCACCCACCTCGGCCTCGCAAAGTGTTGGGATTACAGGCGTGAGCCACTGCGCCCGGCCCAGCCTTACATTTTCTAGCCTCTCCATTCCACTGAGTAAAGACAGACTTACTGACATCTGAGTCCAGTCAAATAATTTTGCAGTCACTCACTTCTAGTTTAAAGTCTAGTCCCAGCTGGTTCACAGGAATCTCAGGTTTCCCTTCCCTCTTAGATCAGGCCCAGGTCTCATGGCTTCTGGGATAGGCTGTCTTTCAGAATATCTTACTTTTCCCTCCTAAAATATAGAAATCATCCATTACAAAGTAATGACTCTGAGGAAACCTGGTGGCTGGTGCTATTGTTTCTAGAGAATACCATACTGAGGAAGGAGTAGATTAGGAGGCAAGAAAATCAGTTTGATTTGGGGCATATTGAATTGGATTTGTTTGCAAGATTTCCGTATAGGACTATCTGGGAGGCAACTCAGGATAGGGATCAGGAGTCTACAGCCTAGAAATAGAAGTTAAAACCTTGCAAGTGATTAAACATAGTTCTGGGGAAGACTGTGGATAGAGAAAAGAAAAGGTCAAGAACAGAACCACCAGGCCTACTCTTATTTTAAAAAAAGAAAGACCAGTGAATTATACTATTAGCCAATATGTATATGGTACTTACCACTGTCATGCCAAGTGTCAGGTTCCAGCCCATACTGAGGTCCGAGGGGAGTTGTTGGATAGGTGGCAGATAGTTGAAAAAACAGTTGGGGCTGTAGACAGGTAAAATATGATTTTAGTCAGCAGCAGCTGCTGCAGCTCTCACACTGTCTGCCTCTGTCTCGGGTGCCTCCTTTACCACAGCCCTTCTCAGCAACTGGCTCTGTGGCTTCTGCCGCTCCCACACTTACAGCTATACTCCTTGGCACACTTGTTAATTCCTGGCTCCCCTCTGTCGGTCTGCAAGACGGCCAGTTCTCTCTTCCAAGGTCAGCAGTTTTTCCCTCTCTCTCTGGGCATGAGTCCTATGTACAGTGTCAGCAGGGCAGTTATACCATTTACACACAATAGTGGCTGTGAGCCAAGTATGAGCTTACACAAACAGGTTATATAACAAGTGGAGTGGTGCGCCTGCGTTGGAGACTCGCTGAGTCACACTGGCCTGCATATCTGCCTCAGCCTGTTCTTGACCAAAGCACATCCATTTTTACCTTACACTCCACCCCCTTGGCCGAGGGAAACATAAGTTTTTAGGTACACAGGCCCAATATATAGGTTTGGCACGCAAGCCTGACATATACACTTTCAGCACCCAGGGCTGATACATACACACAGGCTTGACACGTAAGTCTGACACATAGGCTCTAGGCACACAGGCCCAGTGTATACATAGAGGCTTGACACATAAGCTGTAGGCACTCAGGCCACAGTAGTAATACAGGGAGCAATAATTTCAGGTTATAGTAGGCAACCACCCCATGGTGATGTTACCCCGATGTTGCTTTATATATTAAGCCAGGTTTTTTGCTTACCTACCTTTAGGGGCATTGGGGCAGGCAACAACAGGTTACCGTTTGTCCCCATACCTGGTTAGAGGAAGTCATCCTTTCTCCTATAGGTCTGGCCACATGGCCTGGCCCTACATAGGTCAGTGACTAACCACTTCTGTAACTTCTAGGTAGTTAGCCACAAGGTTAAGCCTTGATAAACTGCCCAGCTATTGGTGCAGATTACCATAGGTGTCACCTTCTTGGTGATCATCATTTACATTGCCCTGAGTTCAGCTTATTAGCTACTTTGTCCACACCTGGTATCAAACCGTAGGGTGTCAGTACTAGGCTGGGCTTCAACAGCAGTCCAGGCAGCAGTAGCACCCTGGCTAGACCTATCTGTGTACCACGCCCTATTGGGAATGCAGGGATGCCCTTCCTTAAAAGATGAAGGCTCAGGGTCTAGGGGTGCCTCAGGTCCCATAGCCTTATCTTGCATTAGGATAGTAGGTACTAAGACTTCTTGTAATTGTGCTGCTAAGGGACTTGACTTAGCATACTTTGCTGTTCCGTGTAGGCTTAGGCACCCCACTTTGCAAAAGTGGATGTCTGTGCCATCCCAGTGTGCGGGTTGTTACCTATGAGCATACCTACCCTACTGTTGGGTAAGTCATGCGCACAACGACTGTAGCCCATCCTGCCAGGCTGTCATGAGTCTAAAGGGCAGCATATGCAGTTACTAACTCCTCTGTCGAGGAATACCGGAGCTCAGCTCCTTTTCAAAGTTGGGACGAAAAATCTACTGGCATTCTAAAGAGCTCTGTGCAATGCCATAAGCCCCAGTCAAAAATATCTGTGGTCACATGCACATCAAGTTTAAATGGGTGCCCCTGATCAGCTACCCATAGGGCTTGTGCCTGCTGAATAGCCTGTTTGGCTGCCAGGAAGGTGGTTTCAGCCGCATCATCCCAATTCCAGGCAAGAGGCTGCATTGCTGCTTCTAAATCTGCAAGAGAATCAGAGGTTAATATAATAACATCATTAATAAGATCATGACATATGTTGGGGCTATGCATATATCCCTGCAGCAACACTGTGAAAGTCCATCATCACCCTCGCATGAAGGCAAAGTGTTCCTGGCTCTCTGGAGCAATGTCCATTAAGAGGAATGCATTGGCCAAGTCCACCACACAGTGGCACCATCCCAGTTCTGTTGTCAGGTGGTCTATCAAATCCATGATAGATGGCACAGCTGCCAAGCCGTGCAAAACATCCACCCCAGCCTGTCCTCAGGCATGGGAGAGACATACACAGTGCATAAGCGGGGAGCCAAGCGGCCGATGCCAAGGTCCGAAGGTACAGGTTTCACTTTCACTGACCAGCTTTCATAACTGTCAATAAATGCAGCTCTGCCCGGAAACTTATTCAGGTTTAGGGACCAGTAGATTGCCAAGTCCACATACAGCCTTTGGTTGTCCGTTGTCCCCCTAAGTCCGGCACCTTGGCCAGTTCCCAATCAAACAGGAAAGGCTTTACATTTCTGCCTGACTGCAGCAGGTAATCTTTGAGCTGGAACGCTCCGGCGGGACCAAGTCACCCAGCAATGTCCTTTTCACGAATGACTTGCACAAGTCTGTATACAACTGCCATCTACTGACAGTTTCTGGTATTTCACTGGCATCAGTCCACACTGTAATTAAAGAAGCCAGCTTTTCCATCTCAGAGGCGGAGCAGAAAATGGATCAGCTCCTTTGTCCCAGAGAGAGAGAATTCAGGAAGGGAGGGGCTCCCCCAGATGCTACTGGCACTGCTTACCTAACTCCCGCAACTCAGTGGGGGTACAAACACTATATGAAATGTGCTTCACTATGGTAGGGAGTCTCTAGGCCCACCCTTGGGGCCCAGTGGCTGTTCATGCTCTATTTTCTGGCAGACCACTGGGTGAGCCTGTAATGGAGGTTCTTCCTCCTCCCTGCGTTGCGTCCAGCAGAGACTGGGCATGCACTTCTTGCAGCACAGTCACAAATGCCCATCTGACTCTGTTGGCAAAGGCACACTCCTCAGTGCTGTGCACTTCCAGGTGCTTCAGCTCCTTCTCCACACTTGTGGAGGGCCTGTCCAGTGTCGCCCATGTTTCCACCAGAGCCCATCCTCGCACCACGGCTGCCACTGGGTGCCACAGCTCATGCTGTGGCTGCATAGCCGGCCCGGGAGCCTGGGAGCTGGAGACCCACTCACCTCATCCTGCCCACTATGCCAAATGTCAGGTTCAAGCCCCAGCTGAGGTCTGAGGGGAGTAGGTGGATGGGGGGTCAGGGAGCTGGAAGAACACTTGAGAGACAGCAGATAGATGGGACATGGCTTTATTCAGCAGCTCTTTCACAGTGTCAGTGCTGCATTTATACACCTCACAACAGTGTCTTAGAGCCAGGTGATGAGCCTCCCCAGGTTATGGCTACATAACTGTGATTGTATAATGCACGGAATTGTGTGCCTGCGCTCCAATCCCACTGAGTCATGCAGGATGTTTACCTCGGCCTATGCCTGCCTGGCTGCAGCACAGCCATGTTCCTTATGTCCACATACCAGGCACTGTTATACAGACGTTATACACTCACTTAATGCTTACAATGGCCCTATCTACTATCACTATCCCTATTACAGATAAGGAAAGGGAGGCACAGAGCTAGTAGGTAGTAAAACCAGGATGACGACGACCTCAGGAAACCTGGGTTCAGAACACTTAACCAGATTATGATGGGAGGTGAGAAGAACCAGGAAGGAGGAAAGCAGGAGAAAGGAAGGTTCTTGAAACAAAGGACAAGTGAGTTTCTGGAAGTGGGCAGTATCCTCAGCCCAGTTGCCTGAGAAGAGGCCATGGAAAATGGGAATTGAGGGAAGTCTCTTTGGTTACTTCTGCAGGCGAAATCTTAGTGGTGTTGGCAATTTGCAGCCTACAGTGTGTGGAAGGCTTAGTAGGAGGTGAGGACTAGAATCAGGGACTGAGGGCTTTCTTTCAAGTTCAGTCTTGAAGGGGAAGAAAGAGAGTGGCAGACTGAGGAGCTGGCGAAGACCAGGGGCAGCCTGTGCTCTCTCCAGGGCAAGGGCTTGGTGATGTTTTCAGCTTCCTTGATGTTTCTGAGAGAAACTGAAGGGCCTCCAGCCCATAGATCAGAGGAACCTGCAGAAACCCTACTTTCAGCTGACTTTTAATGTGAATATTTTGCCAGTTTTTTGGGCAAGTGTCACATCAGATATAACTGAGGGTCTCACTAGCAGGCAGCCAAGGTTTGTTAATTCAGTCCTATTTCTTTTGGTCCAGGGCCTTCTATCCTTCTTCTTCCCCTCACTGCAGTACCTTGACCACAGATAAGACCTGGTACAGCCATCCTTCATTATCTATGGGGGATTCATTCCAGGATCCCCACTGATACCAAAAGTTGTGGATGCTCGAGACTTACATAAAATGGCATATGGTATTTGCCTATAACCTACACACATCCTCCTGTATACTTTTTTTTTTTTTTTAAAGAGATGGAGTCTCTACACTGTTACCCAGGCTGGAGTACAGCAGCACAATCATAGCTTACTGCATCCTTGAACTCCTGGGCTCTCAGGTGATCCTCCTGCCTCTTCCTCCTGAGTAGCTGGGACTGCAGTAGTGTGGCACCAGGCTCAGCTTCTCTTGTACACTTTAAATCATCTCTAGATTACTTATAAACCAAATACAATATAAATGCTTTGTAAATCCTTGTTATATTGTATTTTTATTTGTATTTTTTAATTGTTGTTTTTGTTATTTTTTTCCCAGATATTTTCCAGCTGTGGTTAATTGAACCTCTTGATGCAGAACCTGCAGATATAGAATCAATTGTATTAGTTTTCTATTGCTGTATAACATTTACCTCAAATTTATCAGCTTAAAACAAAATCTGGGCTGGGTGCAGTGGCTCATGTCTTTAATCCCAGCACTTTGGGAGGCCGAGGCAGATCTTTTGAGGTCAGGAGTTCAAGATCAGCCTGGTGAACATAGTGAAACCCCATCTCTACTAAAAATACAAAAATTAGCTGGGCATGGTGGTACACGCCTATAATCCCAGCTACTTGGGAGGCTGAAGCAGGAGAATCTTTTGCACATGGGAGGTGGAGGTTGCAGTGAGCTGAGATCATGCCACTGCGCTCCAGCCTGGGCGACAGGGCGAGACTCTGTCTCAAAATAAACAAGCAAAAAAAAGAAAAAATCAGCTTGTTTGTTCCAGTTCTCTAGGTCAGAAGGCCAGGCAGGCTCAGCTGAGTTCAGTATTAGGGTCTTCCCAGGCCAAAGCCAAAGAGTTGGTAGGGCTGGGCTCTTATCTGGAAGCTCTGAGAGGAATCTACTTATGAGGTCATTGAGGTTGTGGGTAGAATTCAGCTCCTTGGGATCAGTCCAGTCAGTCTGGACTTGCTATCTCATATTGAAAGTCCTGAGGATTAGGGCAGGAAATCGTTAGAGTCGTCTTAGAATTTAGACAACCACAGACCTGCTTGTTAATGGGATAACTGAGCAAGTCACTGAGAGGAGCTTCCTAGAGAGACCAGGAAGTGCCCTGGATCCTCACCAATTTCAGTTTTTTTCCTGATTAGTCCGGGGCTTGGGGATGTCCAGGATCACCCCAGGACATCCTTTGGAACCTTACTGTGGGATTCAGGCTTGGGGTGGTGTAGAGGATTAAGCTGCAGAAGCATTGAACGTGGAGAAATTTCTGCAGCAGTTCCCCAGAGATGTCTCTGGGCCCCTGGGCAGGAGAGAAGGGACTACTTGCAAGTTTACTGGTTAATAATTATTTCCCACCTTTCAGGAATCTTCTGCAGAAATAGCGCTGGAAGCTAGAGTGAGGCCTGAGTACTGCCTTGGCCCAGGATGGCTAGAGAATTAAGTGAAAGCACAGCCCTGGATGCCCAGCCTACAGAAGACAAGATGGAGCTTCTGGTCATAAAGGTGGAGGAAGAAGAGGCCGGTTTTCCCAGTAGCCCAGATCTGGGCTCTGAGGGCTCCCGCGAGCGCTTCCGAGGCTTCCGCTACCCGGAGGCTGCAGGTCCCCGCGAGGCGCTGAGCCGGCTCCGAGAGCTCTGCCGACAGTGGCTGCAGCCTGAGATGCACAGCAAGGAGCAGATCCTGGAGCTGCTGGTGCTGGAGCAGTTCCTGACCATCCTGCCTGGGAAACTGCAGAGCTGGGTGCGGGAGCAGCATCCAGAGAGCGGGGAGGAGGTGGTGGTGCTGTTGGAGTATTTGGAGAGGCAACTGGATGAGCCGGCGCCGCAGGTAGAAAGAACTTAGTATCTGAGCGCTGTGGTCTGTTTCCTCCTGAAATCTCAACATCGGAGTGAGGGGCATTCCTTTAAGATCCAGGAGTTCTCCATCTCTTTTTGTACCGTGAACCTCCTTGGCAGTAAGGTGAAGTCCCCGGACTCCTTCTCAGAATACTTTTTTTAAAATACATAAACCATTAAGGGTTACAAAAGAACACAATCATATCAACATACAGTTAGCAAAGTATTAAATTTGTATTAAAGTCATATATGTGTTTTTTTAAATTAGTATACTAAATAAGACCTAGGGACAGGGCTTATAACTGGCAATTACAAAGCAGTGATAAGTATCTATTTGCCTGGTTGTAATGTGATGTAAAAACATCTACAGGTTCTATTGGTGACAAAGTCCTGGGTACTGCTTATGCTACTTTGATTTGTTGCTTCCATTCATAATTGAAGGAAATACTAACTTTCTCTTAAAGACCAGTTAAAAATAAGATTAGTTTTTGTCCTGTTCAAGTTCATGGACTCCGTGGGAAGGAGTTCATGGACCACTGGTTATGAACCTATGGTAGAAAATGGGCCTACTTTTACCTCTATGTTCTTCCCTGTTTTATGAGACTGTGTCCTCTTTGCATCATCCTGTGTCCCTGTGCACACACCCTCAGAGGACCTGTGTGGCCAGAGCCTTCTAAATGGTGAGCTGGATACCAAGGTTCTTGACTCGGGTCTATTGCACCCAAGCCCTGTAACAGTGGAAAGTCAGTGCAAGTCTCTTACCTTCGTTCTTTATAAAGGATGTGGGAAATTCTGAGCTGCACATGAGAAAGTAACTTGAAAACTGTAATTTTATAATACTGTAAATGTCTGGAAGTAAACCTGCATTTAATGAGGACATATCATATGCCAGGCCATGTTAGGTGATTTCACATACTATGATGTTATTTGGGTCCCCCAAATGCTGTAAACTAGAGATTGTAATCGCCTTTTCAGATAATAAAAGGTATCAATATTCTCTGAGAATTTTGCACCAGTTTCCAATGGGTTTTCATAAAACACAAATGTATATATGAAGTAGCATAGAGTAATGGTAAGAACATGTGCTTTGGCATCATTCTACCTGAGCTCCCATCCTAGCATTGCCATTTGTTAGCTGCTTAAACTGGCTATGCCTTCATTTCCCTATCAGTAAAATGAGTATAATAATACCTCCCTTATAAGATTGTTGTTTTCTGTATTAAATGAGTTAACATTTATAATGATCTTGGAAATAGTGCCAGCCACCTAGGTAATTCTATGGAAGTGTTTGATGAATAAATGAAAATAAGAACAAATGATTTCTAGGTTTCAGGTGTTGACCAGGGGCAAGAACTGCTCTGTTGCAAGATGGCATTGTTGACACCAGCCCCAGAGTCACAAAGTAGCCAATTTCAGCTAATGAAGGCTCTGCTCAAGCATGAATCTCTGGGATGCCAGCCTTTACAAGACAGAGGTAAGGATTATTTTCTAGGCAGTATGAATTCTGCAGACTTCATCCAATTTCATTTAAGGATAGCCAACAAAATTCATTAATAGGTGGTGTATATGCCCATGACAGATCAACTCTCATTTAAGACTGAGACTAAAAGGAGTATTTCCAACATAATGATGGAAAACTTTTTCGACCAAGACTGGACATAGTATATAAGATATTAGTAAAACTTAGGTTTGGAAAGAATTGGTTCTTGTTTGGATTTTGTTTTGTTGTGTTGGTTTTTGTTTTCTTGAGACAGGTCTTGCTGTTTCACCAAGGCTGGAGTGTAGTGGCATGATCTCAGCTCACTGCAGCCTCCACCTCCTGGGCTCAAACGATCCTCTCACCTCAGCCTCCTGAGTAGCTGGGACTATAGGTGTGCACCACCATGCCTGGCTAATTTTTTTAAAAAATTTTTGTGGATATGAAGTCTCACCATGTTGCCCAGGCTGGTCTCAAACTCTTGGGCTCAAGTGATCCTCTTGCCTCGGCCCCCCAAGGTGCTGGGATTATAGTGTAAGCTACCACATTGTGTATACCAGCTACTTGTCTTTGTTCTTCTTTGTTTAACTTGTAATTATGGAGGCCTCCAGTGTGGTGGCCAGTTAGCTCTGGGGATGGAACAGTCAGTGAGACTGTTCTTATTCCAGTGGAGCTTACATTTAAGTGGGGAAGATGGCAAATAAACACATTAATAATACAATTCGTATGACAGTGGGAAGTCCTATGCAGAAAGTAAACAGAATTTGTAAAGCCAACCAGCCAATCTCATAAATTATAGGACTATTGCAAATTAAAGGGTATAAATCTTCTAAATCCTGGGTCTGTTATTAAAGTAATATGAAATTCACTGCATAGGAAATGGCTGTATGTTCTGAGATGTCCTTTCATGTGTCTTAAACACATGTACAAGTTCCCAAGACACACATCACTGGGATATTCTAGCCAACATGAGATCTTTATTTTTCAACAGAGGTTCTAGCCTAAACCACCTGTTTTGTGCCCCTTTAAAAATTTGCTTCCTGAAGTTATATAAGGAATATATGAGGAATATATGTGCTTCCTGAAGTTATATAAGGAATAATAAGGAAACCTGAAGTTCTTCACTTTCCTGTAAAGCCAGACCCTTACTCTGCTTTTCATAGCCCAGCTTCATCTGACTCCTCTTAGCTTTTCAAATCCAAAGTGAAAAGCACCTTAACAGCTACTAAGGACATACTCGCCCAAAATCTGATTTTTCCTCCTATATCTAGCAAAATTCAAAGGATCTTCAAATGGAAAACTTTTTTATTTTTATGTTCTTTTTATTTCACAACTGCTAACAGGGATCCTGCCTTTTTGCATTGTTTTCATGTATCTGCAGAGCACAACAGGTATGTTTAGCTATAGGATTGCAGCAGGTAGGGACAAAGAATTTTGGAAAGGAGCACACTCTGTATAAACTTGTTTGGCAGGAATTTATTTATTTAGAGAGACAGGGTCTTAGTTTGTTGCCCAGGCTAGAGTGCAGTGGCCCAATCACAGCTCATTGCAGCTTCAGACTCCTGGGCTCAATCACGTGAGACAGGAATCTATTAATCCAGTTATTTAACTTAGATTCCACAAGGCAGGGAGGCTGAATGCCAGGGTACATCTCATACACAGCTTCTTTCCTTCTTAGTTCTCCAGGTCCCTGTGCTTGCCCATGGAGGGTGCTGCAGAGAAGATACAGTGGTAGCTTCTAGGCTTACTCCAGAGTCCCAGGTGAGCTGGAGCCCCTATCCCTCCCTCAGTGCCCCTCACTACTGTTGAGCTTCCTATGAAGACTCCTTACTCCCCATTCGCCTATACTCCCATCCTAGATCCTCCATACAGATCTCAAATGGGATCTGCATTGTCTCATCTATCTTGAGGTTATCATTAACTTTATTTAGGTGCCCACTTAAGAGGCTTTTCCTGTTTATTACTAGCTCTTGACAGGGATGGGGATTGGGGGTGCTTCCCAGATCTTCCCTACTCCACCAGTTTGGTCAGCCCCTTCTTCAATGGGATTACCTATTGTTTTAGGGGTTGTTGAAAGTGGAAGATGTGGCCTTGACCGTCACCCCTGAATGGACACAGCAGGATTCATCTCAGGGGAATCTCTGTAGAGATGAAAAGCAGGAGAACCATGGCAGCCTGGTCTCCCTGGGTAAGACTAAAGGACACTAATTTCTGTTAAGGTTTCTTGGCATTCTTTGTGCATTAGAACCTGTTGAGTTGTTGGAAGCTGTTGAGCCCTATTGTGTTTGGATTCACAATCACCATTTCTGAAAACCTGTTACTGACTAGCTCCTTACTCCTTCTTTTTTGTTGTTTTTGAGAGATAGGGTCTTGCTCAGTCACTCGGGATAGAGTGCAGTGGAACAATCATGGCTCACTGCAGCCTCAACTTTTTGGGCTAAAGTGATCCTCTTACCACAGCCTCCCAAACCGCTGGGACTAAAGGCATGCACCACCACGCTTGGCTAATTTTTTAATTTTTATTTTTTGTCGAGATGGAATTTTGCCATGTTGCCCAGGCTGGTCTCAAACTCCAGGGCTCAAGCAGTCTTCCTGCCTTGGCCCCTCAAAATGCTGGAATTACAGGCATGAGCATGAGCTACTGCACCCAGCCTGCTTATCCCTTCTGACCTTGATTTCTCCTCTCCCTGCCAGTATTCTAGTTGAGTTAAATGGGTTGAAGACAATACAGTCCCAAGTACAGGTTTGCCTCATAGGAGATGCCCAGTAAATGATGATGTACTCCTTCCTGATCCTATCCCTGACTGAAGAGGAAAGTTGGCGGGCCTCTTTAGAAAATGGGCCTTGGGACCATAGATTGTGAGAGTTAGAGGTGTTCTTAGACATTGACTATAGACCCTGACCTCAGAGATGAGGGTGCAGAGGCTGAGAAGACTGCCTGACTTGTCTGAGGCCACGTAGCTCATTGGTGGCATAAAATTCACAGCACTGAATCCAGTTCTGTTTGGGGACCCTGCCTCTGCCTGGGATATGAGCCGAGACAACTGTCTTTATTGTTTCATTGATCAGTGCCCAATTTCTGAGTCTCCACTTTCACTGTTTCATTTCTTTCTTTCTTTTTTTTTTTTTTTTTTTTTTTTGAGATTGAGTCTCACTCTGTCACCCAGGCTGGAGTGCAGTGGTGCAATCTTGGCTCACTGCATCCTGTACCTCTCATATTCAAGCTATTCTCCTGCTTCAGCCTCCTGACTAGCTGGGCTTATAGGCACCCACCACCATGCCTGGCTAATTTTTGTTTTTTTAATAGAGATGGGGTTTCACCATGTTGACCAGGCTGGTTTTGAACTCCTGACCTCAAGTGATCTGCCAGCCTCAGCCTCCCAATCGCTGTTTCTCAAAGGTATTTCAGAAATCCTTCCACTTGCTCCATTTAATGTCACTTTCTGTTCAACTCTTTTAGTATCTAATCCTAGATGCATGGCCCTGCCTTACTATTCTTAGAACTTAGAACGACCACATATATCCCCAGCATAGTCCTGGATCCTCACCATTTTCCACCCACTCCCTCCACTCCCAGTGTGTACCTTTCCAATGGCCCCATTCCCATTCTTAGGTCTCCCTCCTCCCCAGCACTCCTGTTCTCCCCTTTTATTCCCATTCTTATTCTAGCACTTAAATCCTTATCCCAGGCATTTATAGACCTCTGTAATTCTTGCCTCCCTGGTACTCATCACAGAGCTTTCCTTCCATGGCAGGGCATAACCCACAATTGCCGGTTATTTGTTATTTCAGGTGGTGAAAAACAGACTAAGGGCAGGGACTTGCCTCCAGCTGAGAAGCTTCAAGAAAAGGAGCATGGGAAGATATTGTGCCACCTGAGGGAAGACATTGTCCAGATTCCTACATGTGCAGAAGCTGGTGAACAGGAGGGCAGGTTACAAAGAAAGCAGAAAAATGCCACAGGAGGGAGGCGGCACATCTGCCATGAATGTGGAAAGAGTTTTGCTCAAAGCTCAGGCCTGAGTAAACACAGGAGAATCCACACTGGTGAGAAACCCTACGAATGTGAGGAGTGTGGCAAGGCCTTCATTGGGAGCTCTGCCCTCGTCATTCATCAGAGAGTCCACACTGGTGAGAAGCCATATGAGTGTGAAGAATGTGGTAAGGCCTTCAGTCACAGCTCAGACCTTATCAAGCACCAGAGAACCCACACTGGGGAGAAGCCCTATGAGTGTGATGACTGTGGGAAGACCTTCAGCCAGAGCTGCAGCCTCCTTGAACATCACAGAATCCACACTGGGGAGAAGCCGTATCAGTGCAGTATGTGTGGCAAAGCCTTTAGGCGAAGTTCACATCTCCTGAGACATCAGAGGATCCATACTGGGGATAAAAATGTTCAGGAACCTGAGCAGGGAGAGGCCTGGAAAAGTAGGACGGAAAGCCAGTTGGAAAATGTTGAAACTCCCATGTCTTATAAATGTAATGAGTGTGAAAGAAGTTTCACTCAGAATACAGGCCTCATTGAACATCAAAAAATCCACACTGGTGAGAAACCCTATCAGTGTAATGCATGTGGAAAAGCCTTCACCCGAGTTTCATACCTTGTTCAACATCAGAGAAGCCACGTAGGGAGAAACATCCTATCACAGTGACCCATGCTATACATGCCAGAGTTGGTGCTCATTTGTCACTGATCTGAAGCCACTCCCCCTGGAGTCTCGACTATAGGAATTGTGGGCTGGGCTTTATTTACCACTACACATTATCAGGTGTTAGAAAATATAGACTGGGTTAGACAAATTATCTTCCAAGTTCTAGAAGGTGTTTGGAATCAAAACATATTTGATAGGAGGCTATGGGAGAGTTGTCTAGAATAGGTAAGACCTGAAATGGTTTGTTCTCTCCCATTGGAATTAAATGGATGTTTAGACTGGCTACTTGCCCTAAACCAGCACTTTGTGGTGTCTGTTGGGTGGATGGTTGTGATTTGGGGGCTGCTTCTCTGACCATTCCTTTGGACTGTAATGAATCCTCCACAGTTGGTCAGATTCACAAAGTCTTATATCCCCCTCTGTGCCTTTTCCACAGGTGCTAATAAATGTTTATTGAATGTACCAGTGAGATTACCTTCATAGATCTGAAAATCTGATGTTATCCAGGTTTCTGAAGAACTTCTCGCCAAGGCCATTTGTGCTTGTGTCCAATTCTCTGACCTAGATTGTGACTCAATCTAGTGTATTTCTTACCAAGTACATAGGCAGAGCAGAGGTGATGGCAGGGTTACTGTGATTGAAAGAATCCATTTTTTTGTTTGTTTGTTTTTGAGACAGAGTCTTGCACTGTCTCCCAGGCTGGAGTGCAGTGGCACGATCTCAGTTCACTACAACCTCCGCCTCCTGGGTTCAAGCGATTCTCCTGCCTCAGCCTCCTGAGTAGCCAGGACTACAGGCGTGTGCCACCACACCTGGCTAATTTTTTATGTTTTTGGTAGAGACGGGGTTTCACCATGTTAGCCAGGATAGTCTCGATCTCCTGACCTCGTGATCCTCCTGCTTCAGCCTCCCAAAGTCTTGGCATTATAGGCGTGAGCCACCATGCCCGGCCAAGAATCCATATTTCTTTACCAGACTAGGAATTCTATTCCAGTGCAAATGCCTTAAACAGCTTATCACTAAATCATTATGAATGTGTGCCATCCATGGAATTGCATTTTTTTTTTTTTTAATATGAGGTCTCACTGTGTTGCCCAGGCTGGTCTCGACATCCTGGGCAATCCTCCTGCCTCACCCTCTCAAAGCTCAGGAATTATAGGTGTGAGCCACCATGCCCAGCCCAAATTTCATTCTTTAATGTTTTCCTGTTGCTACTCTTTAAGAAAAAACTTACCTATTCAGACAGTGTGAAAATCAGTCATCAAGTCAGAATAAAATGATAAATATTCTAATGCTCCATATCTTAGTTCTCTCCATTTAGTTCTCTTGGGCCTAACCAATGCCTGCTAAAACAATAGACACTATCCTGCCCCACCCTACTACCCAGCATACACTGTATAGTAAACTGCAGCAAAACTTATTCCTGCTAAGTTCATACTTTCTCCTGATGAATGGATTCACACCAAATATTTAAAACGAGTATCACTTATGGTTTCAGAACCCCATTATTAGTGTCTGACGTCTTGGTCTTCTTATACATTGATTCCCAAATCGCCTGTGTGGTAACAGCATCTCAGTTTTTCATGATGACTATTTTAACCATAAATTTAACTCCTCAGGCTATCTACTTTTTTGTTAAACACACTGTGTAGATCATCTTTTTTTTTTCTTCTCATCATGATAGTCAAAATTTTAGTCTTGTGAATTCAAGTGAGAAAATGTTTAGTCAGCATTATACAAGTAGTATTTATTATGTATACATTCAGTGGAGTTGTTTCTACAAAAGTATTTTGGAATGACTATTCTGCTGCAAACTTTTGTGTAAGTGCTTCACCTTATTCCTACAATAAGGAGAAGTGCACTAACAAAATGAACAATGCAGCAAGGGCTTCAGTCGCAGCTCAGGTCTTATCAAACACCAGAGAACCCATAATGGGAGAAGCCTTATGAGTGTGACAACTGTGGAAAGACAGTTCCTTTTTTGTTAGTATCACTTCTCCTTATTGTAGAAATATGCTTTCATTGGCCGGGCGCGGTGGCTCAAGCCTGTAATCCCAGCACTTTGGGAGGCCGAGACGGGCGGATCACGAGGTCAGGAGATCGAGACCATCCTGGCTAACACGGTGAAACCCCATCTCTATTAAGAAATACAAAAAACTAGCCGGGTGAGGTGGCGGGCGCCTGTAGTCCCAGCTACTCGGGAGGCTGAGGCCGGAGAATGGCATAAACCCGGGAGGCGGAGCTTGCAGTGAGCTGAGATCCGGCCACTGCACTCCAGCCTGGGTGACAGAGCGAGACTCCGTCTCAAAAAAAAAAAAAAAAAAAAAAAAAAGAAATATGCTTTCATTGTTGGATCTACTCACATTTCTCACTCGATTTCTGGCACCAGCAATCTCTTCCATATTTACAATATCAGTCAAAAACTCGGGAATTCAAACATAACAAGATTTTTCTGGTCACTTTTAATGGTTAATGACTTGGGCATTGTGATATATTATCTCCTGCTGTATTTTGTTTAGTAGAAATTGAATCATCATCCAAAATCCTTTATAGAAATATCCAAGTCCCTGTTTTTATGCTGGTTTCCAAGGCTTGGTCCTTCAAGGTTTTCAGGGATCTAGGGGACACAAGTCTGACAAATCCTAGTGTAAATTATTTGTATTATAGTAATAAACCATATGGTTACTTCGTTTGAGTGGATTCTTAAATTGAGAAAAATGCATTGCATGATTTCTAAACTTCCTAAACATACATTAGGATTCTCCAGAGAAATAGAACCGATGGGATCTGTGTGTACATATGTATGTATATGTATGTATGTGTATGCATATATATTTGTATTTATAATATTGGTTTATATATATATTATACACACTATATATGTGTTTGTATATATATTTTATTTATTGGCAAGAATTGGTTCATATGATTATGGAGGCTGAGAAGTCCTAGGTTCTCCTATCTGCAAACTAGAGAACTAGCGGAGCCAGTGGCGTGAGCGCCAGTCCAAAGACCCGCAGGTTCAAGACCCAGGAAGAGCCAGTGTTCTAGTTTGAGTCTGAAGGCCAGAAAAGACTGATGTCCCAGTTCAAGATGGGCAGGAGGAATACCCCTTGAGGGAGCATCATCTTTTTTGTTTTCTTCCTGTCTTCAACTAATCAGATGGGGGCCACCCACATTAGTGGGGGCAGTCTGCCTTACCTAGTCCACTGATGCAATGATTCATCACATTCAAATTCAAACACTCAGAATAATGTTTGACCAAATATCTGGGCACTTTGTGGTTTGGTCAAGTTGACATATAAAACTGGCCATCACAATGCTATAGTTTCAACATTAAAACTACAGTATAGTATTACAGTTTCAGTAAAGCATTAAAACATTTAATCCGTGCTTCCCCCTTTTGTCAATTCTTCCAATTGGCAGTAGGAGCCTGGGAAATAATGTTTGTAGCCTCCCTACCCCATTTACGGGTCAGGATAGGAAACGGCTGGTATGAGGCAGCCTGAGGGACAAGATAAACAACTAGATCACCATTGTATCCTCAGCATCTAGCAGAGTTCCTGATAAATGAATGATTCTGAAAATTGGCTGGTTCTACTTGTTCTTTTGTATTATTAACATAACATAAAATCTCCTGACACTGAGTGCCAGAGACCAAAGTATTCACATTCATATTTCCAGATATAAAAGTCTTCCCTTATTTCTAAAGAAATTATGTGTTTATAACCATTCATTCAGTAAACCTGATTGTGTTAGGTCAGGTGCTAAGGAATCAAAGATGAACAAGACATTATCTCTGCCCCCAGAGAACATAAGACCTAAATCATCTTCTGTCTTACAAGCTATTTTGTCCATTTCTGTTCTCACTTTTGTGCCAGCTTAATAGTTCTTCCTTCAGGGGAATGACTGCACCAATGGCTGCCCTGGCAACTTGCATCTCTTCATATGAGCCATATATGCCAGGATTTAACACCAGCTGATCTAAGCCTTAAAATTCACCTAGAACATGAGTGCATGGTAGGTTATGTGAGGAGCTGATACAATGCCATTTCTCACACACTTCCCTACCTACCATGGAGGCTGTCCTGAGACAGTTTGCTCTGATGAGGAATGAGGCTTTCTACTTTTCCCTATTTAAGGTATAACTGCAAGCTATAAACTGCTTATCTGCAGAACAACATCAGGTTCTCAGCAACAAAATGTTTCACCATATGTGTTGCAGTCACATGACCTCTTCTGATGCCATCTTGTGGGGAAAAGACATACAGAACTGAACTGTTTTAATCCAGAAAGGGCTTATTTCTTTTCTGATCAAATACAGTCATGCACTGCATAATGACACTTCGCTCAATGATAATTTGGTCAATAACAGACCACATCTACAAAAGTGGTCCCATAAGATAATGACAGGCTAGGTGGGGTGGCTCATGTTTGTAATACCAGCACTTTGGGAGGCCAAGGTGGGAGGATTTCTGAAGGCCATGAGTTTGAGACTAGCCTGGGAAACAGCGAGACTCCATCTCTAACAAATATAAAAGTTAGCTGGGTGTGGTGGCATGCACCTGTAGTCCTAGCTACTTGGGTGGCTGAGGTGGGAGAATTACTTGAGCCCAGGAATTCAAGGTTACAGTGAGCTATGATTGTGCCACTGCACTCCAGCCTAGGTGGCAAAGCAAAACATTGTCACACAAAAAAAGATTATAATAATATTTTTACTGTACCTTTTCTATGTTTAGATACGCAAATACCATTGGGTTACAATTCAGTATGGTAACATGCTCTACAGGTTTGTAACCTAGGAGTAACAGCCTAAGTTTGTGTAAGTACACTCTGTGATGTTCACACAATGACAGAATTGTCTAATGATGCATTTCTCAAAACATAACCACTTTCATTAAGTGACACATGACTATATGCTAGCCTTTCCTTGACAAATTGGTGCCAAACACGGGGCTGGTAACATTACAATGCCCTTTCAGAAGAAAGACAGATGTGCTCCCACAGGACTGGATAGGACACATGATAAGATTTCCCAGGATCTGGTAGCACATGTTCTTGCCTAAGTGGTGGGCAAGAAGGAAGGAGTAAGAGTCTTCCCATTGTATTAATAGCTATACTGCGTTGGCTAGATTATAGGATGTGAATAGACTCCCCAGGACCCAGTATCATATGCCACCTGCTGATGAATGTTTAGAGGTTAAGTTACTTTAGGTAGGATTGAACCCAGTTGCCCAATGCCTTAGTTGTTATTAAAAGTTTGTTGCAGGCCAAGCATGGTGGCTCATGCCTGTAATCCCAACACTTTGGAAGGCCCACAGTGTATGGCTTGAGCCAAGGCATTCAAGACCAGCCTGGGCAACACAACAAGACCTTGTCTCTACAAAAAATTTCAAGAATTAAAAAAATTAGCTGTGCATGGTGGCACATGCCCATGGTCTCAGCTACTCAGGAGGCTGAGG